AGAATAACCTTTCATTGGACAGTGGTTGAACTTTCACTTCAATTTCACAGTCATTTTGTCGACCGTCGTCAAGGCATAGTCTTGGACAAGTTTTCTTTGCAGACTACACGTTTGTCATGTGGAGTCCCTCAAGGCTCTGGTTTAGGACAGGGATTATTTTCTTTATACATTTCTCCTTTGGAAGATGTAATTATGGCTCACGGCTTAAATGCAATGATGTATACGCCGACAATTCACAGCTTTACATTGTTATGCCACCAAGCAATCGTGTTCAAATGTAACTGTCATTTTATGCAACAACTAAGCCAATCAGTGCAGAATAAGATTTCCAACAGCAATGGAGGATGTCGAAGTGTCCAGTAAAGGTAGCTTAACCTACTTATTGGATAGTGTTCGAACTTGCTCGATTTCACAGTCATCAGAATCTACCTATAAAGATGTGATTCCTGCCATTCAGAACATTGCAAATTTTCGTGAGAGAAGAAATCTCTTGGTGAACTAACGTACTGTAACACTCAGAACACTGCAGCCAGTAACAGTGGTCAGTTTAGGATTTGAGCTTTAAAGTGGCAGAACTGGTGCCCCAAGCACTTGACCTGACTACACAACTGCTTCATACAGTTATCATGAGTGCATGGGGAGTGAATAAATTAGCACAATATTTTTTCTATTATATGATGTAACCTAAAGCTTGTGCTGTCACACCATTCTTTCTTCGGCTTATTCAAAAGTTTAAGAACAAACAGAAAAAGGGAAATCTCGCGTACCAAACATTTTTTCCTCTCAAAATGTTCTGTTCCGTTTGTCATTGTCCCTAGAATTTTCGGAATTTTTGTTTGAATGGTTGGCGTTTCAAAAATTCAACAGTTCTTAGTTTTCAGGAAACCTGCCCAAAATTTTTCGTCCCGAATTTTCTGGAATACTTGGACTGGGTGTGATGCAACGATGGCGACTACTGCAGCAACCAGCCGTGTACCAAGAGGCTAAACCAAGAAAAAGTGTACCAGCAGCCTGTGCATACATATCCTCCTCATCCAAACATACGAACGGTCTCACAGTTTGTGTGGGCTCCCTGTGATAGTGACTGGAAATGATTGCCTTTCTGAGGAGAAGAGAAATACATGTATCCACTTTCATTAAGGGTGGGGGACAGGGGGGGTCCAAACCCCCAGCCTCCCATACCTAGCCTGTGTCTACCAACTGCCTCCTTTCAATTAATTGTTGCCTTCCCCCACCCCCCTCCCCCCCGCTGTCTACCGCTTCCTACCCTTTTAGAAATCTCACCTCACGCTCTTTCCTCCTCCTCCTCCTCCCCGCACCCTACTGTCCCGGGCTACCAGATTGTGAGAAAAAAGAAGTATTATTTCACACACCCCCCAAAGACATCTGCGCTCTTTTTAAAGAGTGTGCTTTACCGTAAAAATTTATATACACCGTTTATGATAATCTTCCTTATTCGACATAAACGGATTGCAAGATTAGCTCACGAGTTCCGTCAGGTTGCGCATTAAAATCTATGGTCAAACACTCCTCGATTGATTGATTGACCAACACTTTACCTTTTACTGCATCATAAGCAATTAGCGCTCCATGAAATTGACGTTTACGGAAATTAGCGCGGGTTTAATGGAAAAAACGGACATTTCAATAAAGGAAATTAAGGCGAAAGAAGGGTAAAATGAAGGAAATCAACGCGACGTTCACAAACAAACAAGACAAGCTGAGACAACGGCAACAAAGGGATCAAACGAAGAGAGTTCATGCAAATCAAAGAAAGCTGGTCACTTGGACGGTTCTTCACAGTTTCACCACCCTGATAAAATGCTCCCTTTCCTAGGTGTCAAGATGTCAGATGTGCATCGAAAATAATGGAAATTAAGGCGGAAATTAACTTTTGCTAAAACTAATGCGTCTTAAATTTCACGAATTTTTGAAATTCGTGTTATGTAATTTCATAAAGTGTTGATTTGCCTTATTAAGGTAATTTCCTTGACCCTGAAAGGCAATTTCTTCATACACCCCATACATTTTCAACACCCATTTGACCAAGGCATTCTTTCATCGGATGGAGATCTGCAGACGCTCGAAGAGGCCAGATTCATTTGCATAACCCTCTCCCTTAAGGGAAAGTACCACCAACATCGTTTGTATTTAGGATTTGACGCTCATTGATGTTGAAATAAATTTGTTCGTGTTGTCTCAAAAGGTTTTGTTTCTTTGCATAGGACGTGCTTCTTTTATTCATTGTGAAATGTTTCCCTCTCTCGTCCTGCTCGCTTACATCACGTCTCGAGATTTCAGTGGAAAACTGGTTCATGCGGAAGTTAAAGGACGGCTAAGAAAAGCTAGCAAAAAGTGTGTCGCACACGACGGTTGTTGTTTTGCTTGGGAACCAGTTGCTTTTTGTTATAATTTTCGAGGAGTGTACCGTACTACTGGCGGGGGCGGGTATCTGGTGAGACGGGGGGGATAGGAGGGGAGTTAGGACCGGGTGATGGACTCCTGTTTAAGGTCATGTCTGTGTTCGTTATGACTGTTGACACGCATCCTGTACTTTGGTCATGTCTGTCTTCATGAATTAAGTTTCCTTATAGTGAGTATCCATGCAGATTTGCACGGTTGATGCTTTTTAGGTGTTTTGCCTTGGTAGACAGCCAAGCCTCTTCGGCCTGCGATATGTTTTTTTAAAGCAGTGAGCTCTTTCTAAGAGGGAGGACACCGTTGAGCTTGGGTGCTGGGTGTCCATGTTAGGGGCGTGTCTGCCTTGTAGAGAGTCAAAAATGAGACTAAAGAAAGACAAAGTCCAGCTCTAAGCGTTGCTCTTCTTTTACAGGGTGTTAGTTAAGATAGAGAGAGTTGTCTGTAATCAATTTTGTCTTGAATTTTGTCGGTAGTTTTCGGTATCCTTGGTCACGAGAATGACTCATCGTTGTTTCTAATACTGAGTAAGCAATGAAGCTGAGTTAATGAGGCACAAGTCCATGCTTATCACCAGCTTGTATAGACTCGTCGGTCCGTAAAAGCACATCCTTTCTTTTCGACATGCAAACTAGTTGTTACTACTTGCTAGCATGGCTCAACTCAAAATCTAGAATAAATGCTGACCGATTTCCTACTTCTAGGGAGGTCTGGGGTATGCTCTCCCGGGAAATTTTTGTTTTTTACTCCCCAAAGTCCCACTTTCCTGGGTTTCTGACTCATTCAGACAGGGTATTTACTGACTGTCCAAACCATTTTCCAGATTTCAACTTGGAAAGCTAAAAATATATCTATTAATAAAAATCTGACAGATTTCCCTAAAGCTGTGGAAACCGGTATGCCGTGATCCGCGCCTGTAACTGAAATAAACTGTCTTGAATATGATCATCGTCAATATATGGTCGCTCTAAATCACTCTAGAGTGATTTTACTTGAACCGTAAAACAGATACTAACAAATAGCCCAAAATAGCGAGAGGTAAACAAAAGAAGACAATGGAATGAGTGCCTAGTTCACGGTTCAAGTAAAATCACTCCAAACGTATCCGAGGCGTCCACACTCTGACTGTATAACTATCTTTTAGAAGAGTGAAATTAAATCTAACACTTTCTTCGGGAATGAGAAAATTAGGTTTGGTTTGTGCTACTGCAATAAGTTATGGCTTTATTTCAAATCTTCAAGGAGGTATTAATTTTAAAGAAATTATGGTATTTTGATTAGTGCGCCTTTTGAATGTGAAAATAGGTGTGGCCAAAAGAGTACTGACCTCCCTGAGTAATCAAGTTGATATTAAGACATATCTTCTGCTCAAGAAAACGAAAACAAATAGATACATAAATAAATGAATAAATAAGTAAATGAGTAAATAAGTTATTCGATAAAATAACGAAAAGCATTGAACTGTTGAGAAATCTGATTACTTGGAATAAGATAGGTCATGTCTAAAAGCTACTACGCATTTTCCAAGTAATTACTTGCATCGGAAACTGTTGCATTTATTACTTTCATTTACCTTATTAGACTTTGGATTCCATTTATTAGTTCTAGTGACAGCATTATGGCTGAAATATAAAAGTGTTTCGTTTTGATAGAAAAAAAAAGCGTTAGAACGTCTCGTCTCGTCGAAGAGCGGCTCAGCGGGTGAGTTCAGTTTTCTATTGAGTATCATAACGTGATTAAATTTTAGGGGAAATTTTCGTGGTTTCCGTGCAGTGGCTAAATTATCTGACGCGGAAAGAGTGAAATTTTAGCTTTATTTCAGTTGTCATATTTAATTTACAGCGATTCAGTGAAAAGTGCTTTACAGAGCCCACTTTAAAATCATTTCAGTTTCGAAATCGCGTAAAATGTACGTGTCTTTCCTTTTGTTACTTCACTGTTGGAGAATTTTTCCAAACATCCTTTTTTTTGCAGAGAAACTGAGAAAACATTTTGAAATATGATATCAAATTCCGTTTTAATTTTTAAAGTACAAATTTGCACAGATGCATTAGCTAAATTTATGAGTACAGTTTATTTCGAAGTCGACTTAACTGATGCAATGGCCATCATTTCACTTTCATTAACATCGAAAATTTAAATAATTTTTCGGGGCTGTTCAGAAAGATTACTTGGCAACAATGAATTCTCGTCTTGTATGAATGGCTCGGAAACCTGTTAAAATTTCGTATCCATTGCATCACTGATTTCTTTTTAATCAAAGAAATATATAAATATTAAATTCGCGCCACAATATTTTCGCTTTGTCTGGGTGGAAGGTGGTAGTCGGCTGCATGCAAATGCGTTCGTAGTCGAACGTATTTTTTATTTTTTCAAATTAGCTGGTCGAGCGCCATAAACATTGAACTGTATGTCCAAACACAGACACTACTTAATTGTGACAATGAATTGTCGAAAGTACAATTGATTTCTGTGTTCATTAGTGTCAAAGCTTGTTTGGCGCGTTTATTCGCGTTCCGCGCTCTGCCTTAACTTTACAAATGGGCTCTTAAGTTCTTGCCGCAGCACCTAATCTATCATTTGCTACATACTCATGCTTTTTTGATTAATTATCATTCCATGAAATCGAATGAGTCGGAAGACAAGTGAGTGAGTCCAAACTGATCTAACAACAAAGAAACGAAATCGTAAAATATTCATAAATGCGAAATACTAGTGCACTGACGTCACACGGTGATTTCTTGTCAATGGAAGCTCGGAAGCCATGTTGATTTGCCCGCCATTTTGATTGAACACAAATCGCGGGGAGGCAGTCGAGAGGCCATTTGCACGACAATCGGCCGATCCTGTTTACACCATGAGCGAGGCAAATTCCGTTGCCGCTTCTGAGAAGTCCGAAGATCTAGAAGAAGACTCTGTGTACATGCTATGCGGGCTTTGCAGGAAGCCTCCTGTTGACACGAGTCCTAAACTTTTGCCTTGCCTTCACTCATTTTGTTTGAAATGCTTGGAGGAGCGTTTCGCTGAGCAACAGCAAGAAAAGGTTCCCTCGACAACGACAAGTTCTTCGTCAGTTTCGATCCCAAGGCTGAAATGTCCAACTTGTGGTCAGGAGTTTTTAGTTCCACCGAAAGGAGTAGCCGGTTTCCTGGATAATCAATTTGTGTTAGAAAACCTAGGAAAACTACAACGGAAACAGGAGAACGTAAAGCGTTTTTGTACTTCTTGTGAAGATAACAGTCCGGCTTCTTCTTTCTGTTTGAATTGCAGCGATTGGCTTTGTGATGCTTGTGTTTCTGCTCATCAGAGAGTACGCGTTACCAAAGACCATAAGATACAATCAGAAGCCCAGTATTTGGAAAATTCTGAGGCCGCAGACGCAAAGCCCATTTTCTGTAACATTCACCAACAAGAATCCTTAAAACTATTTTGCGCAAATTGTGAGAAACTAACTTGCCGAGATTGCCAGCTTCTTGAACATAAAGATCACAAGTATCAGTTCATCAAAGAAGCGGCCATTAGCTACAAAGACTACCTTCGAGGGCAGCTGAATCGTCTTTACGAACAGGCACAACCTTTAACAGAATCCATTAGAGAGGTAGAAAAAGCGGCGAAGGGCCTACAAGAACGGGAAGAAAGCATTGCTGCTGAAATCAGAAAATCCTCAGAAATGCTAGTCAAGGCAGTAAAACAGCGAGAAAATGTTTTGTTAACAGAGCTGAAGGCTGTAGTACATTTTAAACACAAACTTTTGTCGAAACAGAATAAAGACCTTAGACTGATGCAAAAGATTCTTCAACATAATTACGGTTTCACCAGGCATGTTCTAAAGAATGGTAGTGACATGGGGTTGTTATACAGCAAGCGACAACTCAGTTCAAGGATTCAAAATCTGTTGAGTCTCAAGTACAATGTTCTTCCAGTTGCTCACAGTGATTTGAAATTTTCAGTTGAAACGGATAAACTCTGTTCTGTGATATCTAAACTTGGAAGTGTTATGACTCCTGCTGACAGAACTAGTACTAATTCAGCTAGACCTGAAGCAACATTTCGCAGCTTAAACAATGCAAGTAACTATACACCAATGCATAGTGGTATGGTCCCAATAGGTGCCTCTAACCGCTCAATGAGCTCAACTGCTCCTTTGCGACCTAATCCCATCGAGGCCTTGTCAGCTGTCAACAAGCGCCTTGGTCCACCAGGCAGTCAGTCGTATTCATCTGCTGTGAAATATCCAGGTTCTCTCCAAGCTGCTATTGTTCACCCTTCTGGTGCTAGTGTGACACTAAACAGCAAAATTGGTATTGTGCCAGCAAATAGTGTTTCGCGATCGCCATTTTCTTCCAATCCCCGAAACCTTGCAATCAAAACAGGGAGTGGTATTGGCAACCTTACTCCTGTGCAGAGAAGTCCGCTTGTTAGTAACTCTGGCATGACACGTTTGTCACCCCCTCGTCCAGTTCGTAATGGTAACACTGTCCCGTTGCGACATTTCCAAGACATGGGAAGCAAAATTGGAAAGTCGCCACCTCCCCGACCTTCAAGCAACGGTAGTAACAGTAGTCATCAAAGTTTGTCCCCTCTTGGTGAATCATCATCATCATCATCATCATCATCATCTCTCCCCAAACAGAATGGCTGGGAAGAACCTCCAAACACTCCTGACCTGCCCAGTCAAGTTTTAAAAGGTATTTTAATCTTGCTTTGTTTCAACCATTCCTGTCATATGGGCCTTTGCCAAGCTTGTTTTCCTTTGCTGCTAAGTCCTTCAGGTGAAGTGTCATGACCTTCAAAAGTTTAGAATATCAGGTTATATTTTTGTAGTTTATCTAACTAAAATCCAGGCAGGAAAAAAATTAAATGTGGAAGTAGTTGCTTAAAGAAGAAGGCATAAAAACTATACAAGTGAAAAAAGAGAATTTTTCAGTCAGAGGGCAAGAGAAGAATCCTGAAAGAATTTCTGAATTTAATATGTGGGAAAAACCTAAGACACAAATTGACTTGGCATTCTAAGAAAGCACTGAACAATAAATGCCTTATATTATTTTTTAGTTACTCATACATGTGTAGAGGTTTTGTGCACAGACTCGATCTTTAGATCAACCTTACACAGAATAATAAATGGTACCACAAGAAAGTTATATATTTGGTAATTTTAATAACAGCTTGATATGAATGATCGCACTGATGTAGGTGTAATCATTCATTAGAGCTCTGAAATAATACTTTCTAGTGTGCTATTTATATTTGGTGAAAACCCTGAGGATGTAAAAAATTTTCACTTTCAACTTGAAGAAGCCAATGGTGTAAATTTTTCTCTTACATCATCTCTTAAGTATTCCTGTTAAGACCTGTTCCTTTGGTCAGCTTTAAGAAACAGGTTAATTTTTCTTCTCTGTTTGTTGACATACATAAATTTTTTAGCTAATGTCTGTTTCATTGCAAGATTCTTGAATATACTTGGTCTTAATTTTATAAGATACCCCCTGCACTAATAATTCCACATAATTTCATTAAATTATGGAGGCACATACATTCAAATCACAGATAAAATTGTGAGTTGTTCTTCCTTGGTTACTATTTAACAGCATATATGAAGTGTGTACTATACATCAAACCCCTCAGGACGGAATTTACAAATGGCTCTCATTTTTTAGAACTCTTAAGATTAATTTTGTAAAAAGGACTCTTAAAAATTTTCATCATTTTGGAAATTCAATCTGTGATTTTTTATTAGAAATGATGTGACTTTGGTAATGACAAAGCAATTTTTCAATAAAATAAATATATTTTTTCAAGTATTATTTTTCATTTTTTTAAAATTTGAAATGAAAAAAGCTTGACTTTTATTGCAGCATATACATGTATGTTCCTAAAAATAAACACAGCCAGTTCTCTTTTGTCACTATTGTTCTGGATGGTCTAGATTTTTCTCCAGTAGCATCTTTTTGTCAGTCTCAAACATGATTAGTTTTGAATCAAACTGCACAGAAGAAAACTGTACATTATATGTTTACAGTTTTTCTATATCAAATACTAACAGAGGCAGGTGAAATAATAATTATTATAAGTATGTTTGATCATTTCCTTTCAGTGATGTCATTTTCTGGTAATTTTTGGTTTGTAGCAAATTTAAATGATGTTAATGTCTCTCTGATGTCTTTTTTTAATGAAAGAATAGAGCTGTTCTATCGCATTTTGATCTTTCTTTAGAGCTTTATTTTTAACATTCACTGATTTCTGAGGAAAGACTGAGAAAAGTGAGTTTTTTATAACTCACTTTTTCCACTCCAAACTTCTAAACTCAAGTAATAAATTATGGCCCCCCTTTTCTCACCTAATCTTCAAAGTTTTTAAATTTAGTTCAAGTTAAGTCAAAACATCGTTACTTAAGCTTATGGTTGTTCTTGAAGAAAGTAGAAAGCACAGTGTTGGAACAAAAATATCATATTATCAAGATTGTTAAGAAATCTAAAACAACATTGAAGGTTGAGGCAAAAGTAGCAAAGATTTAGTTGAAGGTTTCTTTTGCTTTTTGTGCCAAAGGCTTACTTTAAATTCAAATTTATTCAAATTGTAAAATATTTTAAGTGGACATTAATCTTCATAGTCTGGTGAACTAAAATACGTCTTTTATAGTCTACTTACTATGAGTTCAAAGGAGTTTTTTCGGATTTACAATTTCCTTCAAATGTTAGTTATGTCAAATTTGTATGCAAGCTTCTTTCTTTTAGATGACATTTAGTGGATGCTTCCATACAAACCCCATGTGTATCACTCCATGTTTATTCCATCACTTGATAAAAATTAGTCTTTATTCATTTTAAATGCAGTTACAATTTGACAGTAGTGATAAATTTGCAGTTGACTGTTTTCTTCTCCATCTTTTTTTCCTCTCCTCTTTTATTTGTTTTGTTTTTGGAAGTATTGGGCCTTATCATGATCAATTCTCTTCTTTCTAAAAGTAGTTGTGAGAGGCAAATTGAACAAAAATTCCAAATATTCTTTTAAGTTCAAATTTACCAAAAATAGAAAGATAGAACATGGACTCCTGCCAAAGATGTTTATAATAAATAGTGACACTTCCTCTTGCATGTACAATGTATGTGTTTCATGACTAAGTATAGAAGTAAAAGGGTCCTTTTTTGGCTTGCATCAGACCAATATAATTATGTTCTTGCACAACTAAGTAACAATATTGTTCTTTGGGTTTCCTGTTTTGCTGAATCAAAGTTAATGAACTGTCTTGGTCTTTGATAAAAATGGCTGTTGGCCAGATTTTAATGTGCCTTCCATCCAAGTCTTTGTTACCTTACACAGCACAGATCTCTTGCTTTAGTATAGATGAAGCTAAACATTTAAAGATTTTTTTTGTTACTGTTGTCAACATACTTTAATCTGTTCCAGAACAACATACATGTACTTCTAAACAGGATTGAAAATAAACGTATATATCTATATATATAATTATAAAAGAGAGAACATGAGTGATATGTTGTAGTGAGTGGCTTCTGTAATTTGGGTGTTACATGTAGACCATCCCAAGGCTGTGCTCTAAAGAAAATTGAAGGGAGCCCAGTGCTCTGAACTTGCGAAATCCAGTGTTCCCAGCATATGGTTTCTATGAAAAAGCTAAGATTTTCTAGTCGCCCGAGAGGAAAAAGTTAGGCACCACGGGCCACCGGGCTCTGCTAGAGCACAGCCTTGCATCCTTATTTTAATCAAGCACAAATGGACAATGTTCCCTTGTCGGTCTACTGTGGTACCAATGAGCTGCTTTCTTATTTGACTGGTATGCCTGTGATTGTTGTACATCATTTAAAAAAGGGGAACAATAATTTCACAGCCTTTCAACAGCATTTTTTATCATTTGCCCTTCTCTTCAGGTGCTACTTCACCTACTAGTACTGTAGATCCTGTCGTGCCGCCCCCAAAGGTACCCAAACTGCTTCCTGTCTTAAAGAGAAGCAATAGTACCCAGGAAACATCAGAGCCTGTGGTACCTCCTGCAATACCAAAACTACTTCCTGTATTAAAGAGAAGTCATAGTTCCCAGGGAGTGACTGAACCTGTGGCTGCGTCACCACCACCAATAAAAGTAAAGCAAGAAAAACCTGAATCTCCAATGGATTTTTCGCCTTGTCAAGAGTCTATGCAGAAGGTGTGTGGGCAGTTGAATATGAAATAATTGCTTGTTTTTGTTTTTCACTGTCTAACTAACCAAATTGAATATAGAATAAACTGTGGGTGCTCTGAGTGGCTAAATAAATGTTTTTATCAGAAGGAAAAGGGCAGAAAAGCGTGGCTTTTGTGACAAAAAGGCTTCTCTCTATGTGGCAACTGTTCCAATTTAATTGGAACTGTCAGTATTCAAAGAGGCCACATACTGTTCTCTGATTACATTCAGTTACGTAAGTCTTTCTACAAAGTCATGTGTCTTGGCAGAGGGGAGGGATGTTTTTATGTTATAATAACTGGCCTCCCAAGCATGCAAAGAGTACACTCTCCGATAACTAGGGGCTAGTGGATTTTGCTATCGGGCTAGTTAAATCTGTTGTTAGCTTGCATGGCACATATCTTGGAGAATTCAAATTACAGAAGAACTGTAATCAATCCTGCTCGTCGAAAGTTTTTGAGGGCTAGTTGATATGACTCTTGGGCTAGTACATGCTAGCTACAGCTTGCCCAATTGGCAAGTTGTAAAACTGGCTTTCTTTGCACCCAGGTCCTACTATTTATTCTTAACAATTATTGCATGAGGCTGAGTATCATGTGAAGGATTAGCCAAGGCGGATAACACACTCTGAGATCTGCATAATTCTTCAGATGATATGAAAGTCGAATTCATTATTATTGTTTTATTGTTCATGTAAAATAATTTCGAGTTTAAAAACATGCTTGCCTCCATGGATGTTAAGTTTATCTTTGGTAGTGCATGTGTATCTGCAAATTTAGGAGATAAAGGGTTGTTTGTTTCTGCTAATATTCTTTAAATGGCCGATGTCGTTTGTTAAGTTGTCCTCTTGCTGTTCTTGCGATCTTTTTAGCCAATAGTTCCTTTTCTTCCAACCTGACCTCATCCCTAAGTCTTCTCAGTTAACTGTTCAGTTTTCTGGCGATTATGCTGCTCAGTTGAGGTCATTTTTCACATATTGCAAGATTCATCCAAATTTGGTCAACAGTACATAGTAGCTGGTTACGTGTTTTACCCAATCTGAAATGGAGAAATATTTTGAATGAATAATAATATACATTATTGAATTTTGCCTATGATTTTTAGCAGCAACAAGAAGATGCCACAAGCGGTGAGAGTGGAATTGATGAGACAAGTTCAAATGATGACTGGTGTGCTGTGTGCCGTAATGGTGGAGAACTTTTATGCTGTGATACTTGTCCACGTGTTTTTCATTTGCAGTGCCATGTACCATCCCTTGCTAATCTTCCAAGGTAAATCTTGTAGTACATCAGTGTACAGTGAACATCAACTTAAGAGATCCATTGACCAAAAAGTTGGCACAATATAATGAAAGCCCAAGTTGAAGCTTATGTTCTTAAAAGTTTTGAAAAAGGCAGCCCTTTAGTCTCTGTTTTGTAGTTATATTATGTTATGTTGAAAAAAAAAATCTGGCATCAACCATGCTGCCTCCTCTTAAAAATTGGTTCAAAGCTGAAGGTGAAAGTTTTGGGGCAGGTTCATTTTTTAGTGAATTGTTCTGTTTAACACCAAGGGTCTCAGCATTGAACTGTGGTCATTTTACTTTCATTAGTGACTCGTGGAGTTGTGGATTGTGCAGGGAGGTTGACTGGAATGCTTTAAGACAGAGGGGTATGTCCAATTTAAATTTATTGTAATTTGATATTATTTTTGAGGCATGTTTTTACTGGGCATAATGTAAGGTTGAGAGTCTTTTGACCTTAAGCAAACAAAAAATTGGAGTCTTGGGCAGAGTCGTAACCTTGACTGAATTGGAAACCTAAGAATAAGAACTATTCTATTTTTTCCTAACTCCACTTATGACTCTGCTGCTAGTGAAAATCAGATTGTCAAAGATGAAAGCAGAAGCAGAAAGTTTTAGTGTGACTCCAAGAATGTGTGTTTGACTAGATCATTAGTGATGGAGGTACATTGTTTAGCAGAATCGGAATGCTGTTTTCACTAGATCTTACGTTCTGATTACAACACTGTGAAAACCAGCCTTTTGTGAGAATGTATCTCTCCAGCAGTTCATTTAAATTATCAAACTTTCTTAACAACACAGATCTGGAAGGGGTCTCCCCTGGAAATAAAAGACGCTCTTCTTGTAATGGTCTGACAGAGTTTGAGAAAAAGGTAATTGAAGTATTCTTTATCCAGTCCCTTTGATGAATTATTAATATTGTAAGCAGTTCTTTTCTTAGCTTATGTTTAACATTTTACTCATTTTTTTTTTAAATAAGGCCTGTGAAAAAATTTTGCTGGAGCTGTTTTGTCATGCAGACAGTATTCCATTCCAACAGAAAGTTAGCAAATCGGTAAGTGAAAGCATTATTTTTCAAAAACCAAGAATGACTAAGTGAGTAGCATAAGTTCCTGTTGTCGGGACATTTTCTCTTGAAGGATTAAAATTGTTCCATTTTAGTTTACGAGGCAATATAGGCAACTAAAGTGAGTAGTTGTACATGTTATATTTTGATGGATTGCCATTTTTTAGATTAATTTTCCTTTTGAGTATCCACCTCTCATAAGATTATATTTTTTGCATTTAAGGTGACAGTCAACTCTGAGAGAGTTGACAGTAGAGGCATTCTAAGTAACTGAAACCATGCAGAGAGAGGGGGGGGGGGGATTATTAACTTTGTTCCCCTGAAATAAGGGGAAGAGAATGGATAGTATGGTCATCTTCTTTACATTTATTTCTTTTCCCAGCAGTTCCATTTATAAAATTCATATATTCATTATTTCAACCAAAGTCTTGTTCCAAAGTTTACTAGTAGACCATTGTTTCTTTTTTAGGTTCCTAATTATTACAAAGTGATTACTCACCCAATGGATTTGTCAAATGTCCGTGCAAGGCTTCAAACACAGAACTTTGCACACTATCAAACCTTCCATGAGTTTGTTGGAGACTGTCGCCTGATCTTTGAGAACTGTGCAATATTTAATGAAGTAAGTACTACTTCTTTTAACAATAATTATTGCTGTCAAATGAACCCCTAGTCAATAATTGTGAAATTTTTAAGAGATTATTAGATAATGCCTGGCTTAAAATTGATTGAACAATCAATATTCATTACAGCTGCAAAATTTACAGCCCTTATCAAGGAAGAGGAAGGGCATACATAAAACAGCTACATGTCGATCACTGAGATTGTTGTTTCCAAAATAAAACATGCAGTAAAATTATTCATGAATTTAAGTTTGGTAGTATTGCTCCTTTTCCATTAGACTAATGAAGTTCATTATTTTTTGGTTAGCTTTAAGGTTGACTTCAGTTTTAAGCAAAGTATATAATTTTTGTTTAGTTATTGTTTTTTAAAGTTACAATACCTATCAATTACTGCAAGGACATTTCTCTTCATCGACCCTTCCAAAGCCTTTTTTCACACCTTTGACTCTTCTGGGCCACTGCGAAAGAGCATGAATAGACAAAAAAAATGATATAACATTATTTTGTGGACAAAAAAGGCTGCACTCTAGCAGGGCCCAGGGGCCCCTGCTACCTAACTTTTGCTCCCATGCAAAAAGGAAGTCTTATTTTCCTCTTAGAAAATATAACGCTGGGCACCTTTATTTCACAAGTTCAGAGCACTGGGCATTGTTAAAGTTATTTTCTTAGAGCACAGCCTTCACAAAAGCTCAACTAGGAAATGTGAACATTATTAACGTGGAATCCATCAGGAAATTGAGTAATCTTAATTTTTAGTGGACAAAAACCTTGTACCAGAATAATTTAAGCCACATTGAATTCTTTTCTACAGTTTTCAAGGGCTATAGATATACTTAGTTATCTGTAATAACACCAAAGACAATTTCTCATGGGAGCCTGTGAAAATTGATTTAAATTTCACAGGAATTGTGAAAACACATGTAAAATTTCATGGGTAAGATTTCATTTTGTGAAATTTGAAGCTTTTCTTAGGCTCCTATGAGAAATTTTCTTTGGTGTTATTACATATAACTAATTACATCTTTTGCCCTTGAAAAGTGTAAAAAAGAATGTAATATGCTCAAAATTATTTTGTACAACGATTTTGTGTGATAGAAAAAATAAAAAATTTACTCAGTTTCCTGATGGATTCCGTCTTAATTTTCATGCATACAGATGAGATATAAATGTTCCCCGTGTCTATTTATTTTCCAAGAGGAAAAAGGGACTAGGAATTTGTTCAGTTTGTTAAACACTGTCTTGTACTGGAATGTTTCCTATAGGCAACTTCTGAAGTTGGCAAAATGGGCCTCAATTTAGAAGTATATTTTGACGCCGTGCTGAAAAAGTACCTGCCAAATTATGTGGATCCATCTGGGGAACCCAAGCCAAAGAGGAGAAAAGATGAAGCAAGGATGTATATACTGAATCAATGATATACACCTACCAGAAAATTTATTTTTAATGATTAAATTATTATATGAAATTATTGAGGGCTGGTGATTGGGCAAATTAGCCCTGTTTAACAGTCACTTATCTCACTAGTTGTGTCAGGTCCTCAGTTCATGTGCTTGTTAAAAGAGAGAAAATATTGTTTTAGTAAAAATTACATTGCACATTATTTTCATGTGTGGTAGTGTGGGATATGTACAGTCAAACTTCTTTTTAACACCTCTATTACCAACATTTCTAGAGACCAAACTTTGAGGTGACAAATGGTAATTGCAAGATGAGCTAAGATGTTGAGGTCTTTCTCTGAGTGGTCAACACTTTGTAGACTATTCACAGTCCCGTATTTTTCCTTAATTTCGTTTAGATCAATCGCTTTGCATTACAGGCAACCATCTTGGATGAGTGTCTAATCTACTTAGGGGGTGGGGGACGGTTTGAGGCCTTCCTCCCCCACAGCTTTAAACTCCAATGCCTACCTCCTTGTTACATAATGGAAGCAAGATGGCCGCTCATACTAGCACTCGATCATGGTGATCGTACAAAAAAATAGGGGACTGTGAAGAGTCTAAACACTTTCCAGCTAACTTGAAGACCTATTATAAACCCCTCAGAGATTTTGAGATTGAATCAACATTTTTCAAAGCTCCAGTTTTTTTTGGGTACCAAATCACAACCCCAACTTAACTTTTTAAACTCTTACATCGGTATGTGTAATCATTTAACAACCAAGACCTTTTTCACTAAATTTATTGATCATTTTCTTTAACGTTTGATTGAAAAGTGTTACCACAAGGAGAAATTAAATGTTGATCACTCTAGGTTAGGGGTCAAGGGGATTGCAGAGATGTCTGTGGCCTTTGGTGTCCTACTTCAAGAGGTTTGGCTGTATAACCATTGTACATAGTTTTGTGTTTACTGTCAGTAACTGATGTTTTGTTTAGTGGTTATTCATCCCTGATAAGATGTACTCTTTCAGTTTTAGTCCATAACTAAATACCGTAATTATGTAGTCTATGGTTATAATGCAGTATTTAGCTGCTAATTAAAAATACTGATTACTCATGTACATTGTACAACTGTAGCTACATGTTTGGCATAATTTATGTTCACTGATTCATCAAGTGGCCTATTAATATTGATGATGAACATTAATTTTTATTGTCCATTAAACATGCCCCTGTTCTAGTCTTGAAGCAGACATTGACATGGGTTACATTGACTATGATTACTGTAGGCGGTATGGGCTTTAAATGCAATGATCTCAACTCCCTTGTAAACTTAATGAAATTTAGTATTACATGTATTTTGATACTTTGCATTTTAACAAAACGTGTTGATAGGAATTAAACAGCATTGGCAATCCAGTAATCCAATAGCGTGCCACGGGTTTGTACCATTTTCTCATTGCTTTGTGTGACTCTGGCATTCAGCAGTTGATACTTTTTAGTTTTGTCTTTTGTATAGTTTACAACCAAGATTGTCAGGAAAAACTGTTTATGGTTGTCATACTCATCTTATCATCCATCAAATCATTATCTTATCTTTCTTCCATAAATTTTATAGGATACTACTGATTGAACATACTTTGTGCAGACTAAAACTTTGGATCCTAGTAAATGGGGCCACATAAATTAGCAGGCCAATCAGATTATGGAATGTGTTACTTAACCTCCTATCATCATCATCTTCAGCATCAACATCATCATCATCCTTTGATTGCCTCCAAGGTCCATCGTATTCTTTGTTGCCACCAAGTCGTTTTCATTTCCCTCCGAAGTCCATTGAAGATGAGTCCAAAATTAATTATTATATCTGCTGTGATTTAATTAGGTTCCTCTACTCATCACTCGGGCATAACCGGTATTGGTAATCTTATTGGATTGTTCCATTGGTCGTGGTTACTGTGGCCATTTTGTTATGGGCTAACAACAATACTGTTATTTTTCCACAAAATCTCTAGTTACATGGTGACAAGATTGTGTACATAATAATTATAGTGAGTGTTAATTGAATAGGTTATTCTCACAGATGTATGAAGAAATCTTCAAATGAATATAATAATTGATCATCTTGAAAATAATATTATGGTCAAACCACATAGCACCAATTTTTTTGGATGTTTCCTCATGTAGAGATCTTTTAGCTGTTGACTCACTCAACTTGTCATTGACTAGGTCTCCTCTAATTGTATTGGAAGTTTAGATGGTACCACATCCTGGCAGGTGGCCAAATAAAAGTTGCTCAGTGTAGTAAAAAATTAAGTTGTGATGTTGGTCATATCATGTAACTTCAAATGAGTAAGGGTTTTTTTGTCTTTAGCTACAATCATTTTATTTATGGGTGCCCAGAATGTGAACTATACCTGCCAACTTTTTCTGAGATGTAGGCGTGAGATTTTTATCCTGGGATTTTTGAAAACGACACGATCATTTCCGAAGATTCCCGAAGAAGTCCGAAGTCTGCCGAAGGCGAAGTTATCGAGAAAACGCTTATCCACAAAATCAGAGATCGTGAGGAAGGTATTGTCATTTATTCATTTTACACATGGTTTTCATTCGTTACATGGGCCTGAGTTAACATATTTTTGGAATTGTGTCCAGCAAGACGACAACAACTCACATTTTCAATCAGGCGTGAGAAATTGGTCCGCAGGCGTGAGCGGGCATGAGATCGAAGTTTTCAACCCGCAGGCGTGAGAGTTGGCAGGTATAATGTGAACCCATTTCCAATTTGCCCTAAACAAACAATCAAACCCCCACTAAGTGATCACTCAGTTGCTAGTTTGGTGACCTGTGTTTGGGCCTTTCCTTGAGTTTAAGTGAGCTAACCATTGGCAAAATGTTACTAATTTGTTTGTTTTATTTTCTTCATAAACATATGCCTCTTTTGCCCTGGTGTCCAGGTATTCAGTAAGCCTCAAGATGTCTTGTGCACCTCCCAAAGTTGGTTGTAATAGTTCGTCAACAATAATTATCTGCTCTGATTTTGAACAAAATTCTTATTCTGTTCATGCAAGAGCTTTTATTGTTGACAGCATTGTCATTTATTCTAGTTTCTCCTGTAGGGTGTTCACATCTAAAACAAACATCCTAGCTGGCTGTACTCCTTCGACTTATACTTGTAATTTTATGCTGAAAAGCTCACGATGTCAGAGCTGGACAGGGAGTGCTTGTGTTAGACTGATTGACCTCACTGTGTTCACTGAGCTTGAGATGTGTGCCAAATTTCATGTGGCCAAAATTGCCTATAGCTGGAGTTTTGCATCATGACCTTCAGTTCACTCCAATAACATATTCAAACATCCTGGCTTTTTATCTTCCGTTTTCACTTCATTTTGAAAAAAAACAAATGGATTAAGGATAAGTCATTTACAAAACAGAGAGGGAAAAGGTAGCTTCTGTGCACAGTGAGATGCAACATGATGTACCTTTTAATTCCCTTTGTTTTCCAAAAATGAATGCTAAACAACTTAACTTTTTGAAACTATATTTCTGCAAAACGGGGGAAAAATTAGAGAGGGGAAAAATGGGGAAATGTTCTTTGTTAGATGTAGGTTGCATGCAAGTCTGGAAAAATATGTAATTGTTGCCCAACCAAAAATTGACTTGAGTTTCACATAGGCCACTGGCCTTCATGGAATTGTCATTATGCACAATAATGTTAGTCTTTTCAGTTAATTCAGGTAAAGATGAAATTAACTGTCCAGCAAATCACTCTAATGAAATTAATAGATATTTATTGTTAGAAATAAAGTCTCATTCACAAACCATTTGTTAATTTTTGTGAATGAAAACAATGGGGTCATGTGGCAGTTGCTTGACCCCAAACAATACTAAAACAGTAACTGGAAGAATGACATGTCATTGTTTCCTGCGACAATATTAATTAGGAGAGACCTTGCGGGCAGCTCCTACACTAGGTAAACAATGGGCATGTTTACTGTCAAACTCTGAAAACCATGAATGTGGAAAAATTTCAGGAATGTTTTGATTGTGTAGTGACCAACCACAACCAACCTCAAAACCAGATGAGATGGTGAATTTTGAACCTGGTGAATAAATAAGAAAGATGTGTTCATTCACCAGGCTCAAAATTCACAATCACATCTTTATCAAATAATTTATTTAAGCTGCCAAGACTCTGGAGCCATTATAACATTGGTTGATATGGCCAAGTAATGGACAACAATAACCATAAGTAACCCAAAGATTTATACCAGAATAAAACAGAAGCAAGCAGAACAACACCAAGTTGGCTTTTTCTTTCAACTTTAATTATTTGTACACAACTTTGCCTATGCTACCAGGACGCAGGCACCTCCAACCTCCTTAATCTTTTCCTCGGCCTTACGACTGAAAAACTTTGCCTTCACAATCACAGGCTGTTTAGGTAGAAGGCCTTTACCAAGAACTTTGTAATATCCCTGTAAAGAAAACAGTTTGTTACTATTTTAGAAGAAGACATTACACAAACTACTCCAATTCTTAGCCTGAGTCTAAAGTGAGAGAGGGAGAGACAAGGTACCACCCGATTACCTCAGTTGGGAGGGCATAGGTCTGCCAAGTGGGAGGTTGTGGGTTCAAACCAAGGCCAGAAAAAAATGGTGAGATTGTGCTGGCTTATGAATTGAGATCTTGTCTCAGTTAAAACGATCATGCCATAGGGCAGTGACGTTAAGCAGTTGGCCTTGTCTCTTTCATCCTTCTTTCATTAGTCAAAATCAAAGGGGATGTAAGAGAAAAAACACTACCGTTCAAACAGAGTAGTGGAAGTCCCCGGTGGTGTGGTCTACCTTACACGCACCATTCATATCATGGGCCTGGGGGGTGTTACAGTAAGCTCATAAATGGGCTGATAGAAGCTGCCAGTGGCACCTTCTCCATACAGATCACTTTGTGCTTTCTTGTGAAACCAAAGGAGATTCTTTTAAGATCAAGCAGAGTTTACAAAGATTCTATGATGCAGAACTCAAAATGTTCCAAAAAAGTTATTTTTTCAGACTCCCACACTGCAATGAAGATATGCACCTGTATGAGGGTTCTGAAATTCCTCATTTTGAAATTAAAGTAATGTTCTGGGTACAGGTGTGATTAACCATGACCTGACTAACAAAAAAAATACACTTCACGATTAAGCAGTAGTTGCAATTTTGTTTAATACTAATATCTAGACCTTTTTCCAAAGGTCACTTGGGACCTTACTTCATGCACCCTATACTTCATTTTACAGTGTGAGTACTTGCCACCAAGAAATGAGTGGGCAAGGGATTAAACAAATAAAGGTAATTCAACAGAGCATACTTACAGCACGAACAACATCAATAACTGGGACTGGGCCATCAGTCTTGTCCTTGTAGTACTGCCTTGTCTGCTCACTGACAAGGGACCACAGCTTATCCAAGTTAACAGCTGGTTTGTGGTATTTATTCCTTGTTAAGTGAAAGTGTCGCATGCCTACTTTACCAAAGTAACCTGGATGGCTGTAATGCAAAACAGTGGATTACAAGAATGCCTTTAAAAATCCACGTTACAGAAAACGCAATAGGCCTTTTGCATTAGTTGATCAAGTGATCAAATTTCGATAAACATGAAAACAGTTCACTCATGAAAAATTTGTTAGCTCAAATTAGGTAACCTGTAAATTTCAAGTCATATATCTCAAAAGTAGCAATTGTAACAGCTGCCGAAAATTAGAAGGATTTGCATAAGAAAAACCTTTGTCTGCATCATACTAGAATAGCACCGCACATGATATAGTGCCTTGACTTGAATGGGCAGAACTACATCTACCAAGGAAATCTACTGCAAAACAAACACTAACTCACTATTTATCAAAGTTAATCCTGTGGTGAAGCAGTCCTCCAGCATTACCACGACCTCCAGGATGTTTCCTGTGTTTCCCTGTAAACACACATTAACAAAAGTTAATTGGCTGCTTCACACAGCAGAAGTTATAGTAAGATTTCTGTACAACCCAACACATCTATTATGTATGCAGCAATCTCATACTATTCCGCACAAATAGTTACTATGAACAGAGTCAAAACATGCATGCATATATAAATAAATGTATGGGGTAGAGCAGAAATCCTACAGGAGTTTTCAACGCATGAATTTGATTGAGAAACTTTCATACAGTATATGAAGATCAATCGCCCCGTGTTCATGCAGTCTTTGGTTGCATGTTGTGATTGGTTTTTCATCTGTGATTGAACATTATCTTTTCCTCTCTAATAGCTACGTCATTGTTCTCACAAGCTATAAGATAGCAAATCAATTAAAAAGGGTATTGGACAAATTAAGATTTTTACTCAACTACAAATTACAAAACATAAAATAAGTTCAACAGAACTGCAATAAGTTTACAGTTGAACCTCTCTACCACGGCCACCTTGGAAACAGAAGTGGACGTGGGACGAAGAAGGTGGCCGTTGCAGAGAGGTTGTAAACAAGAGTCGATGTATGGATTTTTTCGTCCACCTGGACGAAAGAAAGTGGCCATTGTAAAGAGGTGGCCGTTAGGGGAGGTTCGACTGTATAAATCAGGGTCGGCGGGGGGGGGGGGTTTAGGTAGTGGAATACCAAAATACCTGAATTAAACCTGCCATTATACCAAAAATTATACTAAAACTTGAAATTAAGTTAAAATTAAAATTAAAACACGGTGCACTTTAGACCCAAAATTGGTCGTGAGGGAATACTCTACACCCAATTTTAAGCTTATTAATACTGTACACCTGAAATTAAATACCCCAATATGCTGTATACCCTGGGCAAAACCCTGGCCGACCCTGATAGATGTGAGCTGACCAAAATTAATGAATTATGACAACCATGAAACAACTACAAAGGATTTTCTTAAATCGCAGTTAAGCATTGCAATAGATTTCTAGTCTTTGATACTAAAAGCCCTTTCTGTTCGATCTAGGTTAACATTAGACTCACCGACTCGACCATGACCGTGACTCACATGGCCTCGCAGCTTTCGACACTTCTTCAGCCGCGCAGTCTAAATATAAAGCAGCGAAAAAAAAGTTTATAAATTTTATTTGTCACAAAACGAAGTTGACGTTTTCGATAAATGGTAAACAAAGCTTTATTCTGTCTGAAAATTTTGACTAAATTTTAAAAGGTGATTACGATGGACGGGGATGAAATTCAGACAAAAATCTATCCCTTTACCCACCATTTTGGAAAGCAAAGAGAGGAAGAAACAAAGTGCGCCTGTGCAAAAAATTCTCGTACCCAGATCGTTTCACAACCCGGATGATTCATGCCCAGTTCTCCCGAAGTCCTCGATCGCGTGATTAGAGATTCCACGTGATTTTCACATGTTTTTCTTCCCTACCTTACAGAGTGCTTTTAAAGCTAGGGAAGGGAGGGTAGTAATACACTATGCTTTCACCGCGACGCCACATGAGACCTGTAGACAACCGATAAGACAGGAAAGCGATCGGCCACGTTCTCTTTGGCGTTGTTTTTCAGATTTATGGCAAGCGTGTGCGATGAAATTCGCTCAGAATTCAAAACAAAAGCACTTAAATGGTGCAGAAAGTACTTAGGAGGGAGCTGGAAAAATCTGTCTTTGGATGAGTTTTCCATTGAACGGTTAGGGTACGTATTTTTGTTACAACGCACCACACTGACAAGCTAAGCCCGTGGCCGCCTTGGCTTCGTCATGCAGTTTTCTGTGTCCTTTCCAATGCTCTTACTACCATTTATTTATACCGTAACCTTATGAGCACTTTGCTATAAACGAATTTGGTATGATTTGCAAAAGAGTTTCACATTGCGACATCCTAGACATTGGTGCGAGCATAAAAAGGCAGCTGAAGGAATTATAATACCATCTATAAATGGCAAAGTCATGTGTTCTTCACGTTCAAGTTACATATATTATTTCCTTTGGTAGGCAATTGTTTTAATGTTCAGGGGGCATGAGTTTTTGAGTGCATTGAATGTTATTGTTGTAACGCATGGACACTTAAAAGATGAATATTTATGAGTCCGCTGGGTTCGCCGCCAAGAAAATCCCAGGAGATTGGACTTTGGGCTCTCCTATTAAAATTCCTCTCTCCTCTGAAAATCAGCAGTAAGGAATTAAAATCAGTATGGATGCTGCGTAGATAAATTATCTAAATATGCAGCTTAGATGCATGTATGGATGGCAAATATTTTCTTTGTCATTTAACTATAAATTATTGAATGAGGCTGAGTATGAAGTGAAGAATTAAGCAGGTCTATGAAAATAATTCTTATATTGGCCAAGGTAGATAACAGCCTTCGAGATCTGCATAATTCTTTACATGGTACGAAAGCCAAATTCAATACATGAATTTTTTACATGTATTTCTCAGTTCTCAACAACCCTCTCCATACCCTCACTAGAAGTACTGTCTTGTACATGTATCTTGCACTTGTGAATATAGAACCATACATATTTATAAGATAACTAAGATAGTACGCGCGCTCTGATTGGCCGAGAGGAGTGTTTGCATGAGAGTGTGTTAACATGGTTGTGGTGTCAAGTTTTGCTTTTTTCGCGCTAATCATGCAAGCACGAATTTGAAAAGTTTTCGAGTTCAAAACTCGACAACTTTACTTTATTTACCCATTCCTCTGTTGGCTGAAACTTGGAAAATTGTTACAAAGAAGGTGTGTCAGTTTTTTTTCACTTAAGCTGACATTTTAAAAGCGAGAAAAATCTGTATTTTGAACAGCATCTTTTTGCAAAACAAGAACTGATTATGCGTGTAAGACTTTGTACAAGACTTTGCGACTGGTAAGAATTTCTCTTTTAATCAGCATCATAACAAACAGTTTTGCGTCTTTTTTCGGGAAAGTTATTTTATGAAAGCAATAGAAAACTTTTTTCCTGTGTTTGCATAGCTTGATATAAACACTCGAGGGGTTGGGAGAATTCTTGACAGTTGTCTCAGGTTTGCATAACTGTCTCGAATTCTCCCAACCCCTCTCGTGTTTATATCAGGCTATGCAAACACAAAAAACTTTTTCTATTGCTTATATCTACCATGCCAAGAAAGCAGTTAAAAGATTTTAAGGTAAACCAGGACTTCTGTATTCTCTTTGCAGTGGCGGCCTCACCAATGAACTCTACATCTGCTCCCTGCCAAATTATTGTCCAGTAATAAATAAAGAAAAACGAAAAGTTCTTCTACGCATTTATGGGCCACTCTACAGTGAACTTGTCAGCAGTTCCAGTGCACTGATCTACAATATTGTAATCTTCACCCTGTTGTCTGAGCGGGAAGTGGGCCCAAAGCTGTATGCAGTATTTCCTCGTGGTAGATTAGAAGAGCTTCTCCCAGTAAGTTTTTGCATATGACAAACACAAACTTTAATAGACACTTCCTAGATTTTCTTTAACTTTTGGTAAAGACCAGTTAGCAGTTATTCATTTACACTGCTGGAAAGAGCACTTTTATTAGGAAACTTCACAAGTTTAAGCTTAAAGGTGAGCAAAGATCAATATTATTATTACCCACAAAGCTGCAAAATTTTGCTGACTTTTGTATCATAGAGGGCATGAACTTGAATTTGACAACTTTGCAGAACTATATTTTTGTTTGTTTTCAACAAATCACATTCAAACTTGGCATCTTTACTAACATTGTTTTAGGGTGTTCTTTTCAGCTGCATTGATGGATTTTTACTAACTGGTCCAAGTCGAAGTTGATAATTCTTGAAGGGGCTTATTTTATTCAAGTCTACTCTATTTTTCTTTTAAAGGGAAAATGCCTAGCATCAAGTGAACTGGCTTGTCCCAAAATCTCTGTCAGGATTGCCCGAACACTGGCAGAGTATCATCATATGGAGCTTCCACTCTCCAAGGAGCCTGTGTTCATGTGGAAAATAATGTCTGGGTAAGAGCATGGTGTTAGCCCTGTATATTATCATTAAATGTAACAAGTGATAACCACAGGTTAGGGAGTATGAGTTATTTGATTTATGTTACTGTAATATTATCCTTTTCCCTTCATGGGGCTTTCTAGTGATATTGGAACAAACAATATATATAGAACATAACATGATTAAGAATCCCAACTGGCAGGAACCGAACCAGTTGGCTATTTTACAAGCATGGCTGAGGCTTTGAACTTGGGACTACCGAGAATAAATCAAGCTGGCGGTCAGAACAGGACTTGAACTCGGGCCTCCAAATTACAAGTCTAGCACTCAAGCTGCTTGTCCACACACCCTTCTTTGCATAGATTTTAGATATTATTTTTGCATGTAGTAGTCACCTTTTAATTTTACATGGCCTTATTGCAATTTTATGGCCAGCTCTAGTGAAGAAAGCAAATTAATTAGGTTTGGCTGAATGAATCTATATGCTACATCATTCATGCAACACCTAAAAAATCACCTAGTTACATGTAGTGAAAATTGTTTGTTGCTTACATGTTGTTATGTTATCATTAATATCATTAATTATTGTAGGAAGCCAATGCAGACTCTTCCCTTGATCTTATTTGTTAAAAAAAAAAACAACAACCAAACAATGGAAAGGAAGCTCTGGTAGCAGGATTCAAGCTACAGTATTTGCTTTTCCATCATCAGGCAATGCATCATATCTCCTGATTTGTGCATGTGTTTATTATTTACTGTATTTATTCGAATAAGCGCCCAACCTTTCTTCAGAGTATTTTACAGAAACCTTGCTTTGTTACTTCTTCGCGTTCTGTTATTAGCATTGTTGTTTTGTTGCAAAATAAACATACTTCACTTGCTGAAAGTGGTGAAAATTTAATAAGCGCCTAGCCTCGAATAAGCGCCCAGGGCGGTTAATCGAATAAATATGGTATTTATATTTTACTCGATTCAACAGATTATCAAAATGATGTTAGTACAAAATTATGAATGGTGATATCTGGAAAATCAGAATTCTGAACTTTGGCTTTTCCAAACATTGGAATTCTGGATTCTAATGTCATTTCCAAACATGGGAATTCTGGATTTCAGCTTTTCCAAATATTGGAATTCTGGATTTGGGCTTTTTTCAAACATTGGAATTGTGTATTTTGGCTTTTCCAAACATTGGAATTGTGTTTTTTTTCCAGACATTAGAATTCTGAATCGTGGCTTTTCCAATCATTGGAATTCTGGATTTTGTCATTTCCAAACATGGGGATTCTAAATATTTTTTTAGAGCTCTGTTTTTTGGGTTTTCCAAATATTGAAATTCTGTATTTTGGTTTTTCCAAACATTGTGTAGTTCCAGAAAATATCCAGACCCCCACCACGGAGGGAATTTTATTTACGACCCCCCCACCACCCTGGATTTTCCATTTTTGCAGGGAACTGATGGCCCCCCCACCCCTCTGGAATTTCCACAAGTATGACAAAGACCCCCCAGCCCCTCTGGAAAAGTCATTTTCACAAAGAAAGACTATTACCATAGGGGAAATTGAAGCCATTTATGGTAGTACGCAACCGTTTCCGTCAGAAGCTTGTATGCTTCTGTTTCCATCTATTTGAGCGATCTCGCAACATTAAAACACACTATACGCCACAGTGAAAAAAATCTGCAATTTTTGCTCATCCTTTACTTTAAATGAAACAGATAAAGTTAATAAGTTCCTTTTCATTTTCCCTTAATTTTGTGGTTGAAGGTGTGGCATGTTAGTGATCAAAATCTTGCTGAAATGGTGTCGATTTCACCAAACATTACGGCCATCGCGAATCACGTCGCATTAGTCGATCGAAAAACAGTAAATTGAACTTGGTTTCCCTTTAAGATGCAGGGAGTATTCATTCTTATCTTTTCAGAATTCAGAGTTTTTATTCTTCTCTTTGTTTTGCCTTAATTTTGTGGTTGAAAGTTTGACTTGTTCTGCATTCCCGCACGAAATGGCGTTAATTCTATCAACATTACGCCCATGAAGACGAATAATAAATCGTAAGCTTGCCCTGATTAAGGTAAAATTCGCAAATATAACCAGAATAAAAACTCTTCATTCTAAAATGGTTACAATGTATAGCTTGTGCTTCGTGAAGCAAAATTGCGACTCTACTGTTCTTCAATCGATCGATCGACTGACGGATCGTGATGTGTTGCACGTGTTGATGTCTTGAGGGAGACTGGTAACGAGTAATGGTGGCCGAATATACGAGCATGCGATAAAACGAGTTCTACTCGGTCTAGTTCCTTTGAAATTGCATCCAGAACGCTTTTGGAAGAAAGGAAATTTGGTTAAGATCAAAAGAAACAATCTTAAATGATATATTTCAAGTTATTTATGTCCTAAAAATGATCTACCAGGTCGGTAAGATGCAATGTTCGAACTAAGGTCGAAAACGAAATGATATTGACCCCCTAGCCTGGAAAGTAATTTGATTGTCCAACCCCCCTCCTCTCTGGAATTTCCTGGGTCTCTGACCCCCCCACCCCCTTAGAATTTCCAATTCCCTCCGTGGTGGGAGTCTGGATATTTTCTGGAACCACACATTGGAATTCTATATTTTGGCTTTTCCAAACATTGGCATTCTGGATTTTGGCTTTTCCAAACATTGGAATCCTGGATTTTGGCTTTTCCAAACATTGGAGTTCTGGATTTTGGCTTTTCCAAACATTGAAATTCTGGATTTTGGCTTTTCCAAACATCGGAGTTCTGGATTTTGTCATTTCCAAACATTGGAATTCTGAATTTTGGCTGTTCCAAACATTGGAATTCTGTATTTGGTTTTTTTCCAAACTTTAGAATTCTGTATCTTGGCTTTTCCAGACAGTATAATCCTGGATTTTGGCTTTCCCAAATATTGGAATTCTGAATTTTGGCTTTTTCAAACATTGGAATTCTGGATTTTCTCATTTCCAAAGACTGGAATTCTTGATTTTAGCATTTCCAAACATTGTGAATTCTTAATTTTATTATTTTCAAACATAATTTGGACTTTTCCAAACGCTGTCTTTCTGAATTTTGTCATTTCAAACGGTGGAACTCTGAATTTTGGCTTTTCCTGGCAAACATCATAGTGACAAATCAGTAATATGAATGAATGCGATTTCTGTTGATGCTGAAGTATAAGCAGAATGCAGTGGGTTTAAAGCAAAACGTCTCCACTGGATTCAAGGAATATTGTAGATCCAACTCAGTGTTTAGGCTATGTTCCTGATCAGAAGGTCCAGACCAATAAAATATTATTATGTCTTGTCAGTAGTCTCTTGTTAGTAGTCGCGAAATTGTAATGTTTTGCTTTTGTTGGAATGCTAACTACTAGTGTAACTGGCGCATTTGTTCTTGTTTCCAGTGACGGTTTTAACACTTTGCAGTTTCCTGCAGTTTCTGGGGTGGAAATGAAAATTTATAAGCGATCATTGCAAGCTCTCCTTTCTTTTCCCACCTCTTGCACTTGTGTCTGCTTTCACGTGAGTGTGACCCTCATGTGACTTCTTGCGACTCTCCTAAATGGAGAGCTTGCCCACGGACTATATGAAATCAGGTAACATAGCCGGTCGACAGGCCTACCTAGCCTGTGTAACAGATGGAAGTAGTCCATTTTGCAAAACAGCGCTGAAATCCTCGTCTCAGCAACAACCTTTGTACCAGAATTTGAGTATGTGCCATGACTGGCCTGTTAAAAATGCATTGTCGATTTGCCAATCAGGTTAATGGGAAATTAAAAATGCCTTTCCAGTAATTTGCTGAGTCCGTTGAGGGGGTGGGGAGGGGGCAGAACATGGATATCGATGCTGTGTCAGAGACATTACTACATTACGCCTGTGACGCAGGCTAGGCTTACCCTATGTGGTCAATCAAATTACTACAACTAAAGAGAGATTGAATTTATCTTTTTTGGTAGGTGGTGTAAAGAAGTTGAGGAACTGCATATAAATGAACAGGATAAAGCTGTTACATTGGCTAAGATAAAAAGCATGAATTTAATGGATGAGTACTACTTTTTAAGGTACCAGAATTAATGATACCCAAGATATGTGTCACACTTAACCATTGCACCTCCAGAAGTATCAAAAATTCAACAAAATTTCCAAATTTCAGTTTCTAAAATACAGCAAAACAAATAGTACCATATGGAACAACTGCTGCCAAAGAGTTTCAAAGGGGAATGGTCACACCACAGACTCAAGAATTAGAACTACCTCACAAGAATCCACCATTCACTCCTGATTATAAATAAATGCTCTGTTGAAAGAACCGTACCTTGCCATTCAATTGCCTCTGCATGTGTGCATTTAATGCCTTTAACTCTGGATCTGGAGGTCTGGGGTTCAAGCCTCACCCATCACATTGTTTCCTTAGACAAAGAACTTTACACAACTCTATCTCTCTTTACCAAGGTGTATAAATGGGTACCAGTGACATACTGCTGGGTGGTAACCCTGCAATGGACTAGCATCCCATCCATGGCGGAGTAGTCTAGTGATACTCCTGGGCATGCTTCATGCTAAGGAAACTGGGATAAGCTCTTGCTGTTTGGGCCTTTGGCTGGTGTGCACCTTTACCTTTTTACTTTTTACTCCTTTGGGCAGCATTGTCGTATATAGCATGGTGCAGTTTGACAGTTTTCTACAGGAGCTTTTGGTCTATTCATTGCAGCTTTTCTTCAGAACACAAACACATAATGGTAGAACTTAAAGGGCAATTTTTAGGAGAATCTAGTAGTTTATCAAAGTTAACTTTGTGCTTGTTTCTACATGTTCCTTCCTTGGATTCTTTCAGGAATTATTTGGAAAAAGCAACCACACCAGGCCCAGTTACATTTTGCCATAATGACCTTCAAGAAGGTTTGTCACTATATCTTTTCCATAATATTTTTGTGGGTGACAAGAGGAGCCCGCAATCCTAATCTCCAGGTTATTATGCATGTGTCACATGTATGTAGCCAGCATTCCTTTGGGCTTCCACTAAGAATGAATGGAATGCACAGAGTGCAATTTGATCACGCTTGTTTCAAACCACAAATAACTAAGATAGTATGCACGCAAAAATATTTCAGTTCTCTTCAATAAAAAGTAGAATGTAGTTTACTTTTGAACCTTAACGATCAACAAACTGATTAACCCATGCATAGCTCAATGAAATACTGGAAGTCTGGAATGTTCACAGTCCCCTATTTGTGCACAAGATCATCAAAATTGAGTGCTTTGCATTGCTGGCAGCCATCTTGGTTGGATGAGTGTCAAATCTACTTAGGGGGCTGGGGATGGTTTGGAAGGAGGTGTAAACCCCGATGCCCACCCCTTCAGTACATATGAAACCAAGATGGCCACCGATACCGGTAAGTGCTCAATCCTGATGATCTTGCAAAGAAATAGGGGACTGTGAACAGTCTATTAGAAGTCTAGTCTAACAAGATACAGAAAAAACCTGCATATAAGAACGTAAGTTTTTTCAAGCTAGGCTAAGAAGGTTCTTATAAAAATGGTGCTAACTGGAAAACTAGGCCGGGTTCAAACACCACTCCACTCATGTGCCGAACCTAACTGATGAATTAAGTACGGCAAAAGAGTAGTGTATGAATCAATTTGCTGCAGTAGTTTTAGTTAGGTGTGGCAAAAGTGTTTGGTGCGACAAAAGTTCGACAGAGTCTGTCGAACTTTTGTTGAACTTAACTCAGGCTCAACACATGGTGCACCATCTGGATCAGATGTCGCGCCAGTGTCACTCCAAAGTCGAACTTTTTCAGTTATGTTTGGTACATGAAACGTATGGTGTCTGAACCAGGCCTTAGGCTAATCAGGTTTTTAAACAGGTTCTTTTTTTTTTTAGTAAATAAGGTGTTTGTCATTGGTGGGTGTGGCCTATTTTGGGCCTATTTTTGGTATTGCGTGCATAATATGTTATAAAAATCCCTTTCACCCAAGCATGTTAAAGCCATTTATGAAGGATATTTAGATCTACATGCCAATTGTCTCATTGACAGGGTTTTATCTTCATTATACTAACTGGTAGAGCATATTCTATTAAATTGTGTATTCAGTGTTTGACTGAATTTCTCAAAATAAGAACCGGTTTTAAAAATTATTGTAGGCTAAAACAGGTTCCTAAATGGACAATCTAAGCCTAACAGGTTCTTAAAATCTAGGTTCTTATATGTGGGTTTTTACTGTTTAGGTAACCAATGAGTTTCTGGTGGTATACAATTGAACTCACCACCAAGCTAAATGTGCTTCAAATGATACTAGAACCATGCTTAGCTCGATTGCTCATGAAATATTTGAATTCTTATCCAATTAGACACAGTTTAAACCAGTGGTATGCTAACCGAGTCACCATACAACCAACAGTGCTAGCTGACAAACTGTTCACACCCGCTCCCCTACAAATCAATTCTATTTACATCTTGTTTATTGCTCCTACTGGGAGAACTACTTGCAAATATTATTTTGAGCATTGATCAATCATGTTTTTACACAGGAAATATTTTGAGAATCCCAAAAGATGGGCAGGAGAATAATGAGGAAGATATGGATATTATGTTCATTGACTTTGAATATAGTGCCTACAACTATAGGTAAATACACCATAATAAATGTGCAGGACATCAAAGGAATAACTTCTTTTATGAGATAACTATTCATTACGCCTGGTTTTCACTAGTGCATAAGCATAAGCATGAGCACATAGTCATTTATCTTAAGCAAATTTTCTTTTCAACTTAAATGATTTAGTAACAAGAATAGTGTCCTTATTTTATGACCCAAGCATTTGTGTAAATATTACATAAACAGACCACAATCTTACTTGCTGTCACCTCTGTCACCTCTGTCCCTTGTGTTCCCTTATGTCCCATGTCCACTCTTGTCCCCTTTGTCCACTCTTATTCCCTTGTGTCCCCTGTCTCGCATTGTGTCTCATGTCCTGTTGTGTCCCTTGTGTCCTCTTGTTTCCTCTGTGTCCCTTGTGTTCCCTGTATCCCTTGTGTCCCCTTGTGTCCCCTGTGTCCCTTGTGTCCCCTGTATCCCTTGTGTCCCCTTGTGCCCCCTGTGTCCCTTGTGTCCCTTGTGTCCCCTGTGTCCCTTGTGTCCTCTGTATCCCTTATGTCCCCCTGCTTCCCGTGTGTCCCTTGTAGCCCCTTGTGTCCCCTGTGTCTCTTGTGTCCCCTGTGTCCCCTTGTTTTCCCTGTCTTCACTTGTGTCCCCTGTGTCCAGTTGTGTCCCCTTGTGTCTTCTGTGTGCCCTTGTGTCCCCTCGTCTCCCCCTGTGTCCGCTGTGTCCCCTGTGTCCCCATGTGTCTCCTTGTGTCCCCTGTAACTACTATGTAGCCCCTCGTGTCCCATGTCCCGTTTTGTCCCCTTTGTCCATATGTCTGTGTCCCTTGTGTTCCTTGTGTCCCCAGTGTTCACTTGTGTCCCCTGTGTCCAATTGTGTCCCCTCTGTCCTTTTTGTCCCCTTGTTAGCCTGCGTAGCATGGCGGTTTTGTCGGCCGATTTTGTCGAGCCGGGCGCACGAGCGGCCAAGCCGCGAGAAAAATAAAAACCGCCTGCCCGGATTTGTGGCCTTTTCAACTGCCGCCCCCTTCAACTCATTTTGACATCCTGTTGACAACTTGTTTGGTTTCGGTTTTCCCAGCCAATCAGAAATAAAGTGTTGACAGCCTAAACACGACACAAAAGCTCGTGATATAATGTAAAACGTGACCTTGGCCGGAATTGGAGTTTGCTTAAACAAACACAGGATTTTTACTTTGTTGCTATCTCGCACATAGGTGACTACACTGCGTTCTAAACTTGACTGAGTAGATTTTATTTTTGCTGCACTGAAGTCTTACATTTATTTAGAGGTCATGAAGTTGGTTTGTTTCATACATATTGAGTAATTATTTCCTGTGGTTAATGCTTCTTTACGTGTTGCTGATTAGAATTTGTTGATCTCAGATGCAGTTGTAAAGTACCAGGAGATGGGCTCCTGAAAGTACTAGTTTCTTTGACCACTCTTAAAGCCTAAAGCTTTTTATTACGGCTAAATAAATATTTTTGGCTTCTTTGGTCTTTTCCGAGTAAAATGCCTGGATCTGGATAACTACAAACCAAGGAGCCTTGGTTTGTAGTTTCTTTGTCCGTGAATGTTTTGACGCTGGGCCCGGCTGTTTAAGTGTTGTTTGCAGGATGTTGTGTTTTTACGTATAGCGCGATCTTCAGATTTGAGTTGTGGCTTAAACGTATGCTACACCAAGTATGGAGAATTACGCTGTGCGTCTTTCTTCTACTGTATGCGATTTATCGACCACAATCGCGGACATCATTCAATGTAGCGCGCTGGAGTGCGTTATTCTCTAACTCTGAGTAAATAGAGAAAATTGAGGTGGACTTTCTCGAAGCAAATTTACTGTTTCTGTCATAAGGTCCATTGCTGTACAGCTCAGCGACAACATTTCTAATATCTGGTCGTCTATAGTACTTTTTAGAGGGGAAATTATGATCATACAGGTTTTCAATGAGGATATTTTTTCTTTGGCCATAGCAAAGACAGTAAAGATCATGTTCTTGCCAAAACTTGTTGACAAAATTTCCATGACATCTCTCCTTTGACGAAGGCTGTAAATGGCCATTTCCTGTTTAGGCTTCAATTCAATTGCCCTGTTTTCCCGTCAAATATTCCAGAATGACGACGCTCCGGTCAACGCTTCTTTGATATTTTGATTTTGTTTTGCGGAGATGATTTGTTCAGTTCCTCGAAAATCTCCCATGGGAGATTACTAAAATATTTGATTGACGGGCGAACGTTCTGAACCAATCGGAACGATCCGTACGCTGGCATACGGACCAACTCAAAAATGCCCCCCGTCCGTGCAGGCGGTTTTTCAAGTTGCTCCCGCCCCAATCTCCTTGCGGTTTCTCTGCCCTCGCCCGCCTTTATTACTTAGCGCGCCCAACCAAAACCATCATGCTACGCAGGCTATCCCCTTGTGTCCTCTGTGTGCCCTTGTTCCCTTGTGTCCCCCTTTTTTTCCTTTGGGTCCCTTGTGTCCCCTGTGTCTCCTTGTGTCCCTTGTGTCCCCTTTGTCCCTTGTTTGCCCGTGTTACCTGTGTCCCCTTGCTTCCGCTGTGTCCCTTTGTGAGCCTTGTGTCTCCTGTGTCCCTTTTGTCCCCGTGTGTCCCTTGTGTCCCCTTGTGTCTGCAGTCTCTTGTGTTCCTTTGCTTTCTTGTGTCTTCCTGTGTCCGCTGTGTCTTGTTACTTTGTCTTCTTGTGTCTACCTGTGTCCGCTGTGTCCTTTGTGTCCCCTGTGTTCCCTTGTGTCTCCTGTGTCCCTTTGTGTCCCCTGTGTACCCCTGTGTTCCCTGTGTCCTTTTGTGTTTCCTGTGTCCCTTGTGTCTGCTGTCTCCCTGTGTCCCTTGTGTACCCCTGTGTCCCCTTGTGGGCCCTGTTTCCCTTGTCTCCCTTGTGTCCCCTGTGTTCCTTTTGTCCTCTGTCTTCCTTGTGTCCCCTGTGTCCCCTGTGTCCCGTCTCCCTTGTGTCCCTTGTGTCTTCTTGTGTCCCCTTGTGTCCCCTGTTTCCTCCTGTGTCCTCTTTGTCCCCCTGTGTCCCCTGTGTCCCATCTCCCTTGTGTCCCTTGTGTCTTCTTGTGTCCCCTTGTGTCCCCTGTTTCCTCCTGTGTCCTCTTTGTCCCCCTGTGTCCCCTTGTGTCCCCTGTGTCCCATCTCCCTTGTGTCCCTTGTGTCTTCTTGTGTCCCCTTGTGTCCCCTGTTTCCTCCTGTGTCCTTTTTGTCCCCTTGTGTTCCTTGTGTCCCCTATGTTGCTTGTGTCCCCTGTGTTCCTTGTATTACCCTGTGTCTCTTGTGTCCGCAGTGTCCCCTGTGTCCCTTTTTGTCCCCTAAATATATGGTGGCGTTGCCCTTGTTTCTCATATTGTGCGAAAACTTTGATGGGTCTCATTGCTTTCATTTGACATCATGCAAGGTTTTTTCACACGCCCAGGAGGTCAAAGGATGTGATTTTTTTATGAAAATAAAGAATCGGAACAAAAAGTTCTGCTTGACTTGTTTAGAAAATAATTTGTTTAATTTGAAATAATCAACTAACAGCTCACTGGTTTAGTAATTTATGCGACCAACTTGGAGGCCCGGGCACCCCAGCTAAAATGTTTGGGAGCCTGAAGGGCTCTTCGAAAATTTTATTTTGGCGACCATCTTTTAGGCCTGGGCACCCCAGATAATGCTCGGGAACCTGAAGGGCTCCCTTAAGATTTTCTTAGAGCACAGCCTTGCGTCCTGTAGTTATTGGAAGTCTGATATATTACATGCTGTTGTTGAATGCGGGAGTGCATTTATTGAGGATATTAGTAAAGCTGGAATTCAAACTCATATGGTGGGAATATTGATGCAAGTTTTGTTTTGAGCAGCAAAGGAACCCTTGTGTGCAACTCATCCTCTAGTGTATTTAACAGAACATCACAGTTTCTGCTGCACACAATTGTTGTTGATACACTGCTCAACCTTCCAATACCTTTCAACATAATTCTTACTTACACCAACAAATCCCGCGTAAACGCCTTCTTGCGTCGTCTTTTTTCATATTATAAGGTTGTAATTTTTTAGTTCATTTAATGGTAATTTTTGTTGTGTAAGTGTTGTCGGAGATTGAAATGAAATTAATAAAAATACGTGACTAATTTCTCAACATTCACCCACTCTTTTACTGGTTTTCTTTTTTCCAGGGCTTTTGACCTGGCAAATCATTTCTGTGAATGGATGTCCGATTACAGTGTTCCTGCTCCTTCATATTTTTCCTTGTCACTGAGCAAGTATCCCAGTAAAGAGCAACAAGTGAGTCATGACTAAGATTACAAATAATGTGGCCTGGGAGTTACCTTCCCACTATGAACACAAAATACAGAAATGCATTATAAACCCTAGTGATAGTCACCAGCATCAGCTTCCTCCAAACAATATCAACACGTAATCAAGAGAAAATGTTATGAGATTTGTGAAAATTGTCATTGAATGGAAACTCTTTATCTTTTACCAAATGCTTTTGACTTAAACTGTGAGAGGTTTGAACCCAGGAGTCATTTCATAAGTAGTGTGAGCATGATCATCCGGGTGAACGTAGTCCTGAATAGGACTGTTGTTGTTGACAGTGACTGACGTTTCGACAACCTGTGTGGTAGTCATTCTCAGAGTCAAAGTGAGCGGTATAATGTCAGTTGATCGTATTAAACTCTGGTTATTGATCTGATTGGTCAATTCAGTCGCGATGTTATTGGTCTTCTGTCAGTTAAGCTGTCATGTTAATCACAGCGTTCAGGTGAATGTAAGTTTTACAAAGCTAAGCAGCCAAAAATGTCGACCCGGAATTTTTCAAAAACACTTTTAGTAAGAAATTTATAAAAATCAGCGCAATTCTAGATTGGAAGTATGCCATCTTTTCGAAATTCTAGTTCTAGCAGTTTGTGGTTTTGTCCATAAACCTAGTAAACAGACTAGTGTCCAGACCCTGAGAGAAAAAGGTTGACAGAACTCAGATTTTCTTTGTCTCGCCTGAGGAATTGTGTCACCCAACGAAAAATACGTCATTCACACAATCAAGTTTGTTTTACTGACAGCTGCTGTTTGTTCGGGCTTACTTGGGAAGGAATACACCCATTAATGGAACAATTTGTGCACCAACGATAGAGGAAACAGAGTTATTGGATCAAATCGACAGGTAATGCTTTAAACGCGACACCACCACAAGTTTCCCCAGGAAACGAGCGGAGAAATTCCATACTGGCGACGTGTCACTACCTAGATCTGGGTAGTGCATCTGATTGGTTAAAAATTTGCTTTAACCAATCAGAAGCACTACCAAGATCTGGTCATCTGTATGGTGTTTCTATGCTCGTTCCTCAGACTTTATTTCCTTGGGAAACCAGTGGTGGTGTGGCGAAATGTCGGCTGTATTCTCAGGCGTTTTCAAACACTCTTTCATCTGTCTTGCATTTGCAGTTTTCATCCACGTTAGAGGCGGGAGGGGGGGTCTAATACAGTACAGTATTGGCCGTTTTCTCTCAAGAGATGGATCATCTGTCTCAGAACCTTTATTTGTCGGAAAATTGTCGTTATGTGAAAACGAGAGGGTGGTTATTTCGACGAGTAATCTTTCTAATTTTATGCGTCTGGTTAATTCGTTTAATTGAACGGATTTTGTTTCAGAAGAATTATCCTTTTGAGACGGATAATCCATCTCTAGTGCAAACATGGCCATAATAAAATTTAGTGGCCTTAAATTTTGTCAAGCTGTTTTCTTGATCGTGTTCGAGACTCCGCATCTTAGTGGCTCTAAATTACAACGTTAGAAGTTTTAAGGAAATAAAATTGTGTTGCAATAAGCGTACAGTCGAATACCTCTCATAGACAGAAATATTCCTTACGCGTCATGCACGTGCAGCTACATATAATCGCCACTCCTATTTTAACCTCGCTTAAGCTGACACTTTTGCTAGTCCTGGGGTTGTGGTTTATACACTTGCAGCAGGTTTCCACAGTACCGCAAATGATCGCGGGCCGAATATTTCGTTATTCCTCGGCGTTTAAGCAAAAGACGAGTTTCCTGCTTAACGTCCTTCCAGGACAGCAACGAAACATCAATGCTTAAAAGAAAGGAGAACAAATTGCTAAAAGAAGCAGTACGGTTATTTATCGTTTTATTCATTTCATTGACTTCCGCGTCAGCACCATTCACCATTCATCCATGCCTAAAATCCATTCCATTCCTCTACTTTTCAAGGGATCATTTGTGGTCGACTGTGGGGATCATTTGAGGTCGACAGTGGGGATCATTTGCGGCCCATTTAAGATTTTGGGATCTTTTGGGGTTCTGTACAAGTTCGAATTAACTTTGTCGCCTATGGGGCAGACCATTGGAAAAGTTATGGCGGTGATGGTGAATTTTCGTGAACATTTCCCTTATTTCTTTAGTTAGTTTTCCTTTTCCTTTTTTGTACTTCGCCTACCCCTCCCCCATGACTTTTCTAACGGTCCCTCCCTAACTGGTCTTGAAAACTTTGCCGGCCGGGTATTGAAGCCAGTAGTAAACGGAAAAATAGTTGAATGCATTGTAATGAAGGTTCTTTTTTATTACTATTATTATCAATTATTTTTTGAAAAATACATTGAAAATGAAACAAAAGAAAAACAACTAATAATTTCAATACATACACTGTATACTAGGACACTATTTTATATTTTCACCATTGGCTGAGACATAGAAATAAATTTTACAAAAAGGATTCAACAAAATAACTAAAAAGGGAAAAGAATGAGGGTTCTTGAAAACCACAAAATGGCTCTTTGACGAAAACAAAAAAATCGGTGAGGACGCAGAAAACACAAAACCTTATTTCGAGAACACGCGCGTCAGTGAGTAATGTGCGCTGCTGAAAGACTTCAGGCTTGTGTACGTGTTTTATCGAAATTAAACGCACGCACTGGAATGTTTCGTGCACAGCAGGTAACAAGTTCGTTTATTTGCTTATTACGGAAGTCTCTAACCCTTTTAAAGTAAATAACAAACCGGAAGTCTCTAAACCTTTCAGTTGAACTGAGTTCTTTGTACCGCAAAGCCACTAGTTCGTAAATAACAAGAATTGTGGCAGCTGCGGTAAAACGTTTAAAGCACATTTAAGAGTGATTTTATTGAACGGTGAAATAGGTAGTAGAATACTACGCATTATTACGCACTAATTCTTTTGTCTTCTTTTGTTTACCTCTAGCTATTTTGCAGTGTAAGTTAGTACCTGTTTCACGGTTCAAGTAAAATCACTCTACGTGCAAATTGTGATGTAAATAAATCAAAATACGTTTCATAAGAAAGAACTAAGTTCGCTGGAGATGTTGTAAACACTACTTGCCTTGATTAGTCTCCCGGTTAGAGGATATTGTTTTTGACCAATGTAATGTTGAATTTACGAGTGAAACGAAATGAAAAGAAAACACAGAAATAAGTTTTATAGTTAAAATTACGGTGTTAAAACACCGTAATTTTAGTTTTTATCTATAAAAGTAATTTTAACTTAAAAGTTCATAATAAGGACGCGAGGAGGGGGAAGAAGTCTCAATGCTTGAAAATCGTGCATGATAGACCATTAACTTCTTCTAAGGAGCCCCAAGAATTTCGAACCGAGCACTTTATCCTCGTAGGAGGTACACGCCACATTTCAGCGAGAGTACATTAACTGATATAATTGTATTAAATCAAAGTGTTGATTTCTATCGACTGTGATAGTTGATTCGGGCTTTTCACCTCGTATTGACTATTACAAAAAGCTCGAGTTTGTTTGCTTATTGTTGGGTAGAAGGTGCGATCACACCGTCTCTGATTTCACGGTTGAAGTAAAATAACCCTATAGTCTTGTAACGTCTCCACTTCCTTGTGTATGTTGTTTTTATGGGTCGGTTGAAGTCGCAGATAATTTTGTCATTTTAAGCGCTTCTTCGTAACGCGGTGGCGGGTTTTCATCATCAGAGCCATCAATATCTTCCGTCCAAAATCCCGCATTGAATTGAGAAGAAACTTCTTGTGCATTTTGAACTACGGTGAAATAGTCAGGCAAAACTAACGAAGAAGCTTCACCAAACGGCGAACGGTGAGGAGAATGATGAGAAGGTGACAATGGAGATGGTGATTTTTCCAAGTCTTCTGCCGGAATTCTGGATACAGCAACTTCACTTGAGCTCTGTTTTCTCCGTCTTTTGTGGAAAAATATTATGGTGCAGACACCGCCCAGAAAGAATAAACCGATGAATATACCTCCACAGACCTTTGCTGCCAGTGATTGGCTACATTCTTCTACCCCCTTTGTCCTGCAGGATTTTGACAGACCGAACAAGATAAGCATAAACGACAGCGCCACAACACACGATAAAATTAGAAATGCGCATATTATGATAACTACTCCAGTTTTCCCCGTCCAACAAATCGACCATCTGAAGGCTGCTCGTCCATTAGTAGCCCTCTCTGCCCGCGTCACTGACATATCATCCATTTTCCAAGTCAGTAGTGTTTATTTCAAGCGAAGTCTTTAGTGTCGTTTAAATCTTAGAAAGTTGTTTTTCCTTTTTTCCTGCCCCTGTTGTTAAGTCAAATCCTTTACATCTTCCGTTTTGCTTGTACTCACGTAGAGCTTGCGGCAAATTGTAAGCTCAAATTGAATTAAGTGAAACTTAGTTTTGAGGAAGTCAAGTACACTTGAGCACTTGAGGTTAACCTATTGCCCCTAGCCAGTTAAATATAGGGCCACATGCAAATTACGTATAACGTTCAAGTTTTTAGACGAGTGCTTTAGTGTGACCATCCAATTAAAACCTCCTTGTTGATTCTTTCCCGTGGAATATTTTTCCAGTTTACTTTACAGATTGCAATTAAGGAATTTTTAGGCGCTCTTTATACAGGTCCTCTGTCATCCAAGTTCAAGATCTCTGAATTCATGTGACATTTTCGACGTAATTCGCTTTGTTTTCGTAGTTTTCTTCTGCATAACTTTTCCTCGGCCGGAGGTACTCCGGTTTTCAATTTTGGCGAATGAGGAATCAATGCAAAACCGTATTCCTCGTGACGTAGGTTGTGCGTCAAACGGCTAATCGAAACAAACTGTGCTTGAAATTCAGCGTGCATAATATTGTTCAAATGAGGCCTTAAGCTGCGGTTTAAAAAATAAAATTGGAATCCAAGCTTTCATAAGGGACGAGAAAATATTCCGCGGCGCGGAGCTATATATATATATATGTTCAAAACAGGTGTAAGGTAAAATTTGTAAAAGCGGTAAAAGCGTAAAAATGATGTAAAGTATGGTTGAAAGGTATAGACGTTAAAACTTTGAATAAAATACAACAGTATAATGACCGAGTGTCTTTAGACAAAGGGTCTAGGTTTGTATTTCAAATTTGTTATTTCTATACATTTTATACCTACTAGGGCTATCCGAGCCCGCGCGCTGGGCACTGGGCCACGCTGTCTCTCCGAAGAGAGACTAGTGAAAACAGGCTTGAGTGGCTTTGAAGGTAGCATGCTTGCTTTCCTAACAACATCCCCTATAATTGGTCAAAGTCAAAATTTGACAAAATTTCCAAATTTCATTATTAAAATGCAGAAAAATAAGTAACTTCAGATGAAACTACTACCAAAGAGCTTTCGTTTGAACGGTATCACCGCAGCATTCTCTCCAAAGACTCAAAAGTTGTAACCACCAGTCTCCATCATTCATCCTCGAAGTGACATGGCTTGCCATCTGCAACGTCAAGATCTGCTGCAACCCACTTACCAGTGTATATTATATTTTCAGATTTGTTTTGGCGTCGCATTTCTTGTATGGACTGTGGGGTGTAATACAGGAGGGCTTCTCAAGCACTGGTAACATCATGTTCAACTACCTGGTATGTTTAGCATCACATTAGAGACTTTTAGATTTGAAGACGACGACTACGACTTTGCAAAGACTTCTGGGATTGTTACTGGGGACAAGGAAAAAATTGACCAATAGCTGACCGGCGCATCGCCAGTAACCATCCCAGAAACAATTGCGGGATGCATGTCGGGCCCAGCTCCCTTCTCGTTTCTAAAGCGGCTAATGATCAGCGTCCAGTTGTTCAAAGGCCAATTAGCGCTAACCCGGGGTTAAACTTTCATCCGGGTTTCTTTTTCTTTTGTTTAAAGGCATTTTCTCTGATAATTTTCCCTATTTGTTTTTAGAGCATACAATCACCAAATTGTAGACCAAATGAATTAAACTGAATTTGCTTTTTAAGCTTTTATATCTGAATTGAAATTTCGCACTAACACCGGGTTATTTTAACCCAGCTTTGACTAAACCCGCCCAGGTGTTTTTGTAGAGAAGTGAACACTCCCGACCACAACAGCTCCCTAACTTAAAAGCTGATGTACAGTTTAACACCGGTTTTTATGCGAACAATGGACAAAAAGTGGTCAATGATTGCTGAGAAAGATATTACCGATAGTTCTTTCGAATCCTTCAGTCCCCAATATCCACGAAGAAATTCTCCAGACTGATCTCCATACATTTCCTTAAAGATTTAGTTAAGAGAATTTAAAAGAAAATTAAAGCATTTTCTCTTTGGTAATTAAGATTGCCATAACCTGTTGTAGTGGTGTACGGATATTGTTAGAAAAAATTGATGTTGTTCACTCTTGGGACTAAAAGGTTAAGCCTGGTCAGTTTCCACGTGATCGCTGCGATTGCGGTGCGATCTATCAAAGCGATCGTCTAGAAACCTGGCTTAACCCTGTAAACCCTAAGATTCAGAGTGTATATTGTCTATTAAACTGCAGAGCAGGCGTTTGTGAACGGAAACTCAGAGGTACATTGATCGCGGCCGCCATCTTGAAAAGCCAAGAAAAATACTACGGGAGGAGGGGGGGAAGACGAGAGGAGAAAACTTTTTCGTTCCCTTCCCCCCCCCGCCCCTTAAAATCAGTTTTGGATTCGTCCCAACTCTCTGGTAGAATTGACGTCCAAGATGGAGGGACAACGTCATTCCCGAAAACAAATCATGGATCGTGCCCAAATACGCCTATTGTCTTTACATACCCCTATCATACTGATGAGGAGTATATATTTGTTTAACAGTTTATCAGGACTTTTCATCTGTTGATTTTGTCTCTTTTCTCTCACGACCGTAATGTTTTACTAAGAAGTGTTACGATAGGGAGAAATTCAATGTTCGCCAGTCATAGGGTTTAGAGGGTTTAGAGATGAAAAGAACTTGTCCTTTGATTATTTGACTTTCTTCCTTATTATTGTTTCTTCCAGGAGTATGCTGTGGCGCGGTTTGAAGCTTACGTACAACATAAGAAAAAATTGGGTCTTATTTAATGGGTTCTTTGTGAAATGTTTGAATTTATTTTTAATCAAGGTCGGAACTGAAAAATTTCTATTTGGATATTAAGATTATTGATGTAATATATAAAACATAGCTTTTTTTCTTTCTAATTGAATGCGAAGGGAAGAAAGGGGAATGCAATACATGTTTAATCGCTAGAGGAGACGACTTGCCAACGATCATGGCATCCTTCGACCTGAACGATTTTTTACGATCATAATCAAACTTAACAAGTGTAAATGAATAACAAACGTTAAAAGGCGATATGGGGTATTTTGACTGTACATTCGAATCCCGATAACTAGAACCTCCTAGGGAAATCGAAGAAAGTTCGAGTTAGCGGGAGTTGGAAGGAAATAACCGGAAATAAGAAAGTAGGTAAATGGATGGGGAAGGGAATGCAATTGAGCAACAAAGTATACAGGGATAGAGGCTGAATTTGAACTAGAGTGACAAAAAAGTAAAGACAAAGCATTGACGCGGTTGTTTTGAAATAATTACAGTCCAGTGTACGGGTTTTTTTGCTTGACTTGTCTCACGCTCATTAACAAATGATCGTCAGAATCTGAGCATGCGCAGTACGTGAAGTAGCTCCTTTAAATTATATAGAAGTGATCTGAAGGGAAACAAAAATTACTTCGAGTTAGCGGGAGGGTCGAGTTATCGAGGGTTCAAGTTACCGAGGGTAAAATTACAGTAAATGTATGAGGGAAATCCAGGGGAAATCGACTTTGGTTCGAGTTAGCAAGGGTTCGAATTATCGGAAGTCAACTGTATTTAACAATAGGTACGCTTAATTAATTGTAGTTTTTATTTCGAATGAATGGTTGGCGTGAGCGATTGCTTCTTGCTTTGGTTATCATTCGCTTAGGCTGAATTTTTAATGATAAATAATTGAACGTTGTTTTAAGTGGTTAATATTTATAATAATTATGATAATGATAATAATAATTACAGTATTTTTTGTGTAAAGGCTGGTTTTCAAAAGCGTCTGAGTCGGAATCGTAAGCGGAGTGGTAAAAAAGCGCTTATAACCCAGTGAAAATCAAAAATCGGAGTCGTAAGGGGAATCATAAGCGCGACGGAAACGGAGTAGCAAGAATCCAATTAATTCCGACCCCGCTTACGACTCCGTCGTTTACGATCTAGTGAAAACCAGTTAGTCGGCGTCGGAAGCAGAAGCGGAAGGATAAACCAATCACAATGCACGTTTCCACGCTTTGTGATTGGTTTAGTTCTTCCGCTTCTCCTTTTGACCTCGACAACCTAGTTTTCACTTGGTCGTAAACGACGGAGTCGTATTCGGAAACAGAACTCTGTTTCCGAATACGATTACGACTCCCGACTCCTACTCCGCCGTTAGTGAAATGCAGCCTTGATTTAGGCATTTTGCCATCATCCTAACTCGACTTGTAGTCACAACTGTTCTTTCCATTGCTTTCATGACAATAGCTTTTACACTCTTTATGCCTTCTCCCAACACAGATTTATCTCTTGCACATTTTTAAATATATATAATAGTTTAAAAAAAAATCAAACAAAGCATACATAGCAGCAACAATATATCAGACTGAAGACACGGTAATCTGAAGACTGAAGGGTTGACAAAAACCAATGAAAAGACGATAAGAATTCAGTGTATTGTATTAATGCTAATTATTTTATACTCTCTTAAAATGAAATTATGTTTCAATTTCCAGCTGTGTTGCCATCCTTATTAACGACGTTATTTCGAGATTAGAGTTGCTATTGCCAAAATATGCGTCAGGTTTTTCTTCAACTCGCTACTTGCTTAAGTCGGGAAAAAACGTCCAAGTGGAATTCCGGAATCCTTGAGCTGTATTCCGCGTTCCAAAGCCTCCGATTGCAGATTCCTCAAGGAAAAATTTCCCCGATTCCGGAATCCGGATTCCCTCACATGAGGTGATGTCGAACAGTGTATCCTTAACAATTATTCCTCGAGCCCGAATGGGCTCTGAGCCAATAGCTCATGAGGCCGAATGCCGAATGGAGTATTGACTCAGAGGCCATGAGGGCGAGAGGAATGATTGTTTTAGTAAAATCCAATTAGTTGGTCAAAAATATCGAGACAAAACAACTTTAGCTAGCAAAACGCGATTAATCTGCCATTGTTTTGGTTTTCAAAGCCGGCGCTTTTCGTTACTAGTGGGCTATAACATATAGCCTAGTAGTAGCTCAACCAATCAGAACGCAGCATTGATGATAGACCACTAGTTGGATTTTACTAATGTAAGATAATTGGTCCGCAATGCCTCCATGTGTCTAGTGTGCCTTCTGACTGTTAAATGGAACATACCGTCCCACTGTCTCATTTCATTGTTTAAGTGAAATAACCTCATAGTCTTTCGTAACTTCTTTTTTTTTCTTGTTGCAGTTGCAGATAATTGTGTCATTGTAAGCGCTTGTTCGTAGCACGGTGGCGCGTTTTTATAAAAAAAATCTTAAAATCTTGTCTTTTCTTTAAAACCAGCTTTAAAATCTTTTTCTGATGGCTGATACAAATGTATTGGCTAGGTTGTAGGCGCCATGTTTTTCACGATTTAGACCTGCCACCCTTTCAAAATAACGTCGGTGTAGTTCCGACCTCCGGGTGTAGTTACATCTCGGGGTAGCCAATCGAAATCGATAAAAATCGTTAGCTATCAAGAGATTTTTCACGATTGATAACGAAAAACGGTGAAATTCTATTTAGGGTAATCTCTTTTTTCCCTTTCGAAAAATCTTAATCTTTTTTTCCCTTTCGACCATTTCCTGACCAGTGGCAACCCTGTTTTAGCGTGAGTTTAGTTCACACACCCTTTCGACTCGAGGGGGTGTCTGAAATTCGGATGAAATTAAACCGAACCGTTTTTGTTATGTACAAATAGAGGGGTTTTAGGGGGAATCTTTAGTGTTTACTAGTTTCCACATTTCTCATTTTCATGTTTGTTGATCAGTTGTTACTCGTGGATGTGTTTTCTCAGCTGTACTATCCAACTTATGCCAAAAAACAACCACAGAGGCGGACTTCCTTTATAAGGAGAGAGAGAAAAACCTCTGGCTACCTTTAGCTCGCAGTGCAGGCGTACTTTGGACGGGCGAAAGCTGCTTCATGTTGCTCCAGATTGCTGTAGTCGGCATCTTTGATTTATGACAGAAGAAGTTGGGGATAGAAGAAATAGCAACCCTTAGGGTAGGTGCTAGGGCGATAGAAGGAGAGCCCCCTCCCTCGATCCGTTTATTGACTTTCCCATTTTCCTCCTCTCTGTTGAAGTTTCGACAAGGCACATTCGCGAGCAAAAACATTCGTGAGTTCGATGAAAACGCGTGCACTGCAGGCTAGGTTACCTTAGTCTTCAATCTCACTTTCATGCAGGCGATAGGGATAGGATCTGACCCTCGGGCGCTGATTGGTTGATATTTTTACAAACACGCAAATCAATTTGATTGGTTCTTTTAATGGGAACTGCCTAGGGGAAGATGAGGATATCGCTCACCTGGGCAAATTTTGCCTCTCTCTACCAGGGAAGGAAATTGTCTGTAAAATACTACATACGTGGTAATTTGCACGAGATTAAGGTAGCGATTCACTTGACAGTCTTCACATGTATGCTGTTCAAAGAAATTTTGACCTCGGTATTCGAGGAGCGGTTTCCTGAGGTCGAAAGTCTCACTGAGCAACAAAAGAAAACTTTTTCCCGTTAGCTACACAGCTTGCGTTTTTTCTGCAAAAACTAACTTACGTTATTCAGTCGGTTGAGATACGACACAGGAGAATCCCTAGCGTAGCTTTTGACGTTTCAAGTGGTACTCTGCTTTAATAGGCCTCGTTACATTCTTCCCGGAATATTGCCATCTTTTCTCTTGGCTCCAAGACTCTCGAAAATTTCAGAACTTCCCGCACTTCTGGCAGATTCTCTCGTTGTATCATTTCAGCTGATCATTTATATCAGACGAGAGTACCTGATGACGATGTTTTCAAAAATTTGTTATTACTTTCAAAAGAGTTTATCTTGAATCGGCCACTGATTTTCACATAAATTCTACAAATCTTGCAAAAGTCGTTCACAGCAATATTGGTTCCTTTTGCTCTTCATTTTATTCCTCCTTTTTCTGTAGCAAGCGTTTCGCGCGAGTCCGACGAGAAAGTTGGGAAAAAGAGCTCTTACTTTCACGCAGTAACTCGATTGGAAAGGCGTACTACGCTAGTCTGCTACACAGCCGTTTTTAGTGTCGTGTGGGGAGGAGCGTTGCGTGACGACACTAAAAACGGCTGTGTAGCAGACTAGTGCTACGCGGGCTACAAGAGTACTTGAGTGATATTAGCACCAATTATCAGCACTGAAGCACACGTACCAACTCCACGGTACGTCAGTACCTTACACATGCGCACGACCATATCACCCTGGCAGCCAACCTCGTCAACACATTAAAGCACCTGTTTGCGTCAAAAGGCCAGACAAAATGCGTGTGTAATCATTAATTCCGCATGCATAATGTTGGTGTTTTCCGGGATTGATAGGTGATTGATAGTTCCGGGATCGGGATTTAGTAGCGTGAGCTATACAATCATCGAGTTAAAAAAAATAATAATAATAAAAAATAATAATAATAATAATAATAATATGCCATATAAGTGTGAACATTTCATCGAGCTTGCAGTCTCGTTTGATCTCTTCATTTCTCCGGTGGTCATTTTCAAAATGCTCAGCAGCGCACGACCACACCATTCGAGATGATACTCGCCAATGGACGCGCTTAGTTTCTGATCCTCCTAGTTTTCCCGACTAATTGTGATATTATGAAGTAGTATTCGGTACCGCTGATATATAATATCGCATACTCAGAAAAACGTTTTGGTGACGTTCTTGTCAGTGGATTCGTTTACCGATTAAACGGTTTGGTTGAGTTCTTGTTTGTGCTCGCTTTGAAACCATGGACCAACACACTAATGACTTTGAAAACAAAGCAACACTAAGTGCTATCGCCTTCATCGTCATCTTCATGGCCATCGTCATCGTCATCGTCATCATCATCGTGATCATCATCATCATCATCGCCATCATCATCATCATCATCATCATCGCCATCATTATCGTCATCATCATCGCCATCATCGTCGTCATCATCATCGCCATCATCATCGCCATCATCATCGTCATCATCATCGTCATCATCATCGCCATCATCATCGTCATCATCATCGCCATCATCGTCGTCATCATCATCGCCATCATCATCGCCATCATCATCGTCATCATCGTCTTCATCATCATCGCCATCATCATCGTCATCATCATCGCCATCATCATCGTCATCATCATCGCCATCATCATCGTCATCATCATCGCCATCATCGTCGTCATCATCATCGTCATCATCATCGCCATCATCATCGCCATCATCATCGTCATCATCATCGTCGTCATCATTATCGTCATCGTCATCCTCACAGTAAACCACAAAATAACACATTTTATTTCGAATGCTTTCAAAAGGCATGTATGCATTCACTTCATAAAATCAAATTCAAACGACTTCTGTAAGATCTGGACCTTTTGTGAGGTTACATTCCTTGTAGCTTTCTGTTGAAGACCGGGAAACTGAGTTGCCCATGACAATGGTCAAATAGAGTAAAGGGAGGAGTATATTTAATAATTATCCCATTCTTTGCATAATAACTTGATTAGCCAGAAGGGTCCCTTCCCCTCCCGTTTCCCCGAGTTGAAGGCAATAAAACGGTGATATTGTTGTTAATTATCATCACTAACCTTGGTTTGCTTAGCTTTTATAGAACACGCGAGGGGAACACGCGAAGGGGAGAGGAGACCTCCTCTCCTTTTCTCCCTTCGGCCTCGTGCGCGCGCGTCCTCGAAATTTCTCCCTTGGCTCTAAAAACACCGGCGCCTTACTGCGCAGACTCCCAGTCTCCAAGATCTGTCAACAGCCTTGCAAGGATCGGGATAATTGGTTACTTTACGGCCTTCTGGACGAGGGTCCCGAGTTCGTAGGCCTCAGCTTGTTAGTCAGATGATGATAATGATGACTATCACGAGCTACCGACAAAAAACAATTAAAGACTCTTACATGACCTGTGTCATTAACGTTTTTGAAATGCCTTTAAATAATATCTGGACTAAACCGTGCCATTTTGACGAAGATATCTCACTCTCACTAAAGCTTAAATCAGTCAGTGTATAAAATGAGCTCCCTCTTGTTTCGTATTTACATTTTGAGTTTATAAACGTTCTCATTTTGAAGTGGTGGACAACCTTTGCCAAGTAATGATGTAGTAGAATTTTTGATGGTATGAATGGGGCTCTAAAACAACTGTAAACCTGAAGAAGGCTGGTATGGCCAGCCGAAATATTGTTATAAAAAACAATACACGTTGTCTTAAATCAGCTTTGCAGTAGTCTTTGGACTTCTCGTTCTTGCTCTAAAAAGGAACGCATATTGACCCATACTGGGCATTTACAGGCGCCCCCATCACTAATGATGAGCTCCCGCAAGAGCTCCTGGCAGTTACCCCTACATTGGGTTGTCATAGAAAAACGATGGCAAATTATATTGTGCTAAAAAATAGAATTCATTTGAGAGAATTTTTTACCTACTGTGTCCATTCAACCATAAGTCAATTTGATGACCAGTGATAGATATTTTGATATACACCAAAAAATAACAAGAACCTTGTAAATATCGGTTTATTATACGTTAAGATTTTTAATAACGATAATATTATTTTCCCCTTTTATGGTGAAATTGTTTTCCACTAACGTAATTTCCAATTTACAAATAATTATTTCAGTAACATTGAAAGTCCAGTATGTACACCTCTATTATTTATATTGATATTGCACTAAATTGTTTCTATTAGAGAACAGTTTTTTGTCCTTGAGGTCATTTTTATAGGTCACATTCTGGAGATAGTATAGGAGCATCTCTGTAAGGATAGAAAAAGAGGTTACAGTTCTGGTAATAATAATAATAATTTCCCGTCTAGTCTAGAATTTTAAAACACGATCTTGCAAGGGAAATGGAAATCGAATGTTTATTAGTAAAGCCCTGGAGGTCACTAAGCATATCAACAATACACTTTTGTTGTGCTTTAAAATTCTAAATTACATATTATGGCGAAAAACACGCAAAGGTTTAATGATAACATTTGTTGGTCTTTAACTTGCTTTAAAATTTGTGTGGAAGATAATTTTCATTTAAAATAGTATCATTTCATCAGGTTTTATAAGCAGACTCCTGCAATACTTGCATACACAACTGGCAACAGAAAAAAAAATTAGGATACTGCGTTGCCACGCACGGTTCGGTGAACTCAAATAGCGTCGAAGACAACATGTCACGAAGCCCTCCAGACAAACCTGTGATAAAATCCATTTATGTAAGTAAACTGGACTCCGATGCAACCCATTCTCTTTGCTTGATTCCAGTGATTGTAGATCAGCGAGTCCGCAATTGCCTGCAGTTTTTCCGTGTCTATTCCGGGCGAGAGAAGCTTCATGCACCAGTTTTGCACCGAATGCCACGCATCGTATTCGTTTAACGACGTCGAGACTTCGAGGAGGCGATCGGGTCCCGGCAAAATGTCGTACCAGCTTGAAAGAGCCCATTCACCGTAATGTCTTGACTCGTTGGCTGTCATCCTGCGAACTGTGACAGAGATCAAGTTTTCGAGATATGTGCGGCACAGGTAAACAACCTAGCGTAGACGACTGAAATTAAAACAGCTGAAAGGTATCTAGCTGTGTGGTCAAAACCGAGGGCATTCCGGAAATTCTCGAGAAAAACCGATTTGTTTCCGTTCTTCGGAATAAAGCAGCAGTTCAGTAATAATGAACGGTAGTTGTGTTGTTCAGAGAATAGAAGCCTCTGAAGGTTTGTGTTTTTGTTTAATTATTAAAGAACGCGATCACGAGAAAAGAGTTAAAACTAAAATGCAATATCTCTCGTTCCCTGATTTCAAGACTCGAAATCATTTGAACTATTGGTAGGTGTATTCAGTATTCTGGGCGTGTTTGACCGGATACTCTACAGCATCACAAGGCCAAGTTATTACGTTGTCATCTAGTTTAGTACGTCTAATTCAGTCGCCACGATCGAAACGAAAAGGAAGTGCAAAAAAGAATCAGACCAGAGGAAATGAACATTCGCTTCCCACCGGGGAAACTACCACGTGGAAAGAAGGGGATGCTCATCGGAAAATCAAAGTTTTAAAACCCTAAAGTTGATCAATCTGGGTGTAACTCAGACTTTCGCTCACCGCTAAAGGATACCATTTCCTTTGTTTCTGTCTGTTTCTTTAAGCATAACCCTTAACGATACCCGTTTATGATAAAATCATTGGCCTCTATTTCTCTCTGTTAGATTGGTCAGTTTGGTGGGCCTCCGAACAAATCAGGGACCTTTTTTTTTTGAAGATTGTTTTCGTTGAAATTCAGGAAATAAATTTGATAATCAATTTATGCAGTGTTGGACTTTAATGCATTTGTCAATGTTGTTCACTACCAAGAGAGAATGAGCTCATTTTCTCGCTGCTCTTGTCACTCAAATCCACGATTTGGTCAACTCGCTGATTCGCGACGATAGATCATCAACGACCGTTCCCCTTGAATTAGATTCTTCGTTGTCCTCTCAGTCTCTACTCTAACCCAGAGATATAACAAACAACTAACTAACCTCGTATTCTCGATCCGTACTTAAAGTTACGTAACCTCGTTTTTTCCCCGCCGCCATGATTTATCCCGCGCGCTTCCTTAGCTTTTGAATAAATCATAGTAGAATAACTCGCTCCGTAACTTACAGTACGGATCGCAGAATACGAGGTTAGTAAGAGGTATTTAGTCTTGAACACTAAAAACTGCAACTTATACTCCAAGGAAAAATGAACTCAGCATCCCCGTTTTGTATGGGAGTCGGCCCCCGGGGGAACTTTTCCCTGCCCTTAGGGCTTGGCGAGACTCATAGATCACAAATAGTCTGGATTAGGCCATCGATAAACCGGTCCAAAGTTCAATAAATCAGACCATTTAAGCTGAATCAACTAACAGTCAAAACAAGATTAGATTATGAACCTCAACGATACACTTTTCAAGCACTGATGCTAACCCCTGCATTAACCGCAAATTCGTGCGTGATGATCGACCTTACGGCCATGCATCTGAAGCTTTCATGTTCAGAGTCCATCGCAAACAGCTTTGAAGACTTATACATAACAGGGCTATGGAACGACGGCTTTCAGGTCCAAATGTATTTAAGGACGAGAGCCGAACAGCAGGCACGATTTGGAAGTCCTACAGTTAAGTTTGTGGATTAATTTTGTGGTAAGTGTTTCAAACTATATTATTTTTCTCAGTTCAGTTGTAAGTTACGCTTATTCGAAAGGTTTGCCATTTACGAGTTTAACTGCCCTGGGATGTAAACAGTTTTCTTGACCTATAGTGTTGTTACGTAATCTCATGAAATGTACCGGCTGGCACGTGGCTTTAAATTAGTAATAGCAGCACATTAGTAATGATCAGTAGCACACCCTCAGCACAGGGCACCCACACAATCTGATTGTAACCGTGTATAGTTTTAAAAGAAACGTATAAAACGGCAAACTGATCCTTACGACTAGGCGATGAACAAGTAAACAAAAGAATAAAACAAGAAAATATATTTATACAAATCTGCCCAATATTTCGGTTTGAAAGACAAACCTTCAGGGGCTAAAAGAAAAATGAAGATAAAACTTAAAGTTCGTTACAAATGAGGGTTTGAAAATCTAAAATTAAAACAATAGATTCTGATTGGTGTAGGTGACTAGGTAGTATCGTCTATCAACGAGCTTCGTGCTCCTAGAGGAGACAGTGTTTTTCCTTGTTTATTAAGTGAGCAGGGGCACCCCATCGAGAATATAGTTCAAAACCACTTAAACATAGCATTGTTGAACGTATTTTAGTATTTAAACGGTGGATATAGGCATATTTTTATACCCTAAACATTTTTCATCTGTTCGGATTTCCTAGCTGAAAGTCTAGTGATCCGAAAATTCTAGGTGACCTTTTCAGGGTAAAAATTCGTTAAAAATGGGCAATTATACCAGTTTTTAGATGTTCAAAAATTCTTGGAGAGGCAGGCAAGCAATAAATTTTACAACAAATATTCCGAAAATTCTAGATCTCAAATCGTCTTTCGAACAGATATTTTCCGAAAATTGACGTTGGGTGCTCCTGAGTGAGCCTCCCTAGCCTTTCTGGCCTTTCTCACTGCGTCACGTCAAGCTTACTTAAGTTTTTGCGCCTTAGCTCGCCTCTGACTGGGAGGAGAGTTGGTGGGGATGGCGCAAAAGTGCGGTTTCGCGAGAGGCGCACAGCGGAGGGCCTAAAAGAGGAATTACTGTATGTATGAATTATTGCCCTAACGTGAGGTCAAGATTGCTGGATATTGGCCAACAAGTTCTTCTCTTTTCTTTAGTTTCAAATAATGGACTTGACGTCGTCTTCACATTATACAAGATTTATTACAAGGCTGAAACAAAATTGTTTCTTGTGGGACAACAACGGAGAGAAAGGCCCTTCTTGGCCGCTCAGGGATCTCGGGTAGTAAATCAGATAGCAGGATTCGCTAATTTTGGCCATGCGTGTAATAAGCCATAATGAATTCGGTTAGCGCTAACCTTCCTCATTGAAACTTAGCTAGCCCGGTAACTTTCTATCTTAACTAAACTGCACTGATATCGAGGGGAAGTAAAAGACAGCGGGTATTAATGCCTGGCAACCTCGTTCCCATCTCCTAGAAACGAGGTTGGAAGCCGAGGAATAGAGTATAGGACCGATGTAGGTCTTCTATTTGTATTGTCTCCTTATTAAAGGAGGTGTGCACATGATCCTGAGGGAACTTTCTTTCCGTTTGTCTTGGTTCCCGCTCGTGGTTCTGTTTTTGTTTTCGTCTGATATCACCGAGTCATACTGCCACGCGCTTGTTCACCCTGGTTGGTTTCCTTTAATACATATTTTGGCAGTTTACAGGCTTGTTTACAATAGAACGTGGTATTAAAACAGGCTTTTAAAACGTTCTTGAACTGGTACTGGAATTCTTACAAGCACAAGGCAGGGCGTCTCCCCTGAATAAACTTCACACGAATTCAAATGATATGTTTCGGTCAAATGCTAAACGAAATTTTAGGAAAGCATTTTTATGTTAAGAATAAAAGATTAGCTCTACTGTCGCCTTTATTTTTTTGCTGGTCGCTCAAGACAAATGTCCACTTAAAGCGCACTTTTTTGTGCAGAAATTTGGAGTTTAAAAGCATTGATTGGAAGAATTGCGGCATGTGCGTGTTTATGTAAATTTCCGCTGGCGTAGTCCTTTGCTTCCCCACCAAGGGAAAAGCCCTGGGGACGAGGTTGTATTTTCAGTTGTTCTTTGTTACACTTTTTAGACATTTATAGAGAGAGACAAAATTTAAAAAAATCAGTAGCTTTTGAGTGGGAAAACTTTGCAGACATGATAATCTGTCAGGGTCTATAGACCTATTCGGCTAACTCAATCTTGTACCCATATCATTTAAATGCTGCCTCGTACCCAGACGTCTCTCTCTCTCTCTCAATGTGCGCGCAAAGGAAGCCGGGAAGGAGACAACGGACGTTTGCCGTCTGCCGTTTGCACCCTTCCCATGGTCCCTTGCGGTTCATCACCAGTCGCTCGTTTCTACCTTGCGAAAAACGAAGTCAATTCCACATTATAATGCAAATACAATACACAAAGAATCTTAACCCCGGGAGATTTGAATTGGGTACAACATTGAGTTAACCGAATTAGGCATATTTTTGTGCAGCGCATTTGGCGACAAATATGTTTTATGAATTTCCCCAGTCCCCCTCCGTTTTTCATGAAAACGCAGTTTATTGTGGGATCGCCTGAAGGCAAAAAAATTTCAAGAATGTTTCGAATTTATCACATTCCACTACTCAAACTGTTGATGCGGTATAACAGCGAGAAAGACAGGAACAAATCTGCACTATACAAGGTCAGGTCACGACACAACGAATGGCTTTTCGTTTTACTTATAACAGAAAATCTTCCAAAAAAATCCTACCAATTTCTCAAGTACGCGCGCGCGTGCGTATTTGCCTAAAGTACGCTACGCCCCTGGCCTGGCCCTGCCCCCTGCATTGGGATAAGCAATGTAACTATAATTGAATGGTTTCGTTGCGTCTCCTAAAATTTTGAGCCATTAGCAAATAGAGTGGTTGTATTCGTTGCGATAACAGGCATATCTTTAATAAACAAAAGAAATATCTGAGGGATCAAAACGGAACCCTGAGGCACCCTTGATAATTCATGGTTAACCATAATTCACTCCTAAGTCTGGCACCCACTGTTCTACCGGCAACGAAATCCCTATTAATGTTGTTGCATTCGCCAGTTATCTCATAAGCTCTCAAATTCAACAAGATTCGCTCATGTAAAACAAAATTCAAGTAAGAGGAAAAAGAATAGTAAATCTCAAGTACAAGCACCCTCTCGGCAATCTGTAAGAACAAGTAGTAATAACAGATTAACCCATTCGCACTTGAACCGCCGCAGTCAATTCAGTAACCGCCCGTTTGAATCCCACTCTTGTCCCCGGCACATTTCCCTCAAGAAAGGAGTAGGGGAGCTCTTCTTGTTTAGTCCTTGTATTTTGACTCGCTCTACGGGCTTATCAAAATAGAGCTCAATGCGTAAAAATACTTAGGGAGTATGACTATGCTAGTCAAAATAATGTACAGCCAGCTCAATAAGTAAAAATACTCAGCGAATATATCAACATCTACATCACGCTGTCATCTTAATTTTACGTCAGTTCAGTGGTTGAAATATATCTATATATTTTTCTTCGGATTTGAATTTATGTATGTACCTCCCCCGCTCCCCCACCACTAGCCGAGTAGACTTTCTACATGCGGGAGGAAGGTATTGTTATCTTGTAATATTTTTGAAAAAGCAAAAAAATTAATTAATTGAAAGATTTGCAGGAACTGCGTAGACAGGTCACTTTTCAAACTATCCGTGCCGGTGTTATTGGTTACTTGATATCATGAAAGTTATTTTTTGCTATCACCTCCGGGCTATCAGCTGCTCGTGTTTTTCAAGCCAAAAAGTCGGAAAACAGGACTTGTGCTCTTGTTTTGGCTTTTGAAAACGCTGTCAGGAAGCAAACGCAGTTTTTGCTCCGTTTCTGTCACCATTGGTTTTTTTACACCAGATATATGGCAGTCGCAGACAGTTTCTCTTGGTTTTTTTCTGCCTTTGTTGAAACGTTAGCCTTCTCCCTTTTTTTTTCGGCCATTGACCTTATTTTTTAGCGTTGTCACTGTGATTCAGCGGATGTCCAAGATGCCAGGAGACTGGAGCGAGTGAACTGATACGGTGCTTTGCTTTTCGACCTTTTCGACCGTGAACTTTGCATGCGTTCGCCTCGTTCGTCGAACAAATAGCGTTCCATAGTGTCCGTCTCGAGCTGTGTGGATGAAATATTTTAGCCCAGCAACTCGTGAAACATTTTTGTCGATGTCCTAACATAGTGCAGTCCCTCTCAAGCGTTATATATGGATGGATCTTCGGGCAAAAAGAGGAGACGAAGCATCAGTGTCAACGAGTAAGTTTACAATGTAATATTGTTTTGCTAATGCTGAGGGTATTGTAAAAGAATTATCATACGGTTTATATTTATGAAATCAGATAAATTGTTCGCAGCTTAAAGTGTACTGAAAATAGCTGGGCTCGAAAGAAAGCCTCGGTATATTTTGGAACTACTGCATTCGTGGTCTAAATTTATTGGCGCGATGGCTTGCAAATTTAGCTGGTAATTCACGGAATGAATTGAAGAGATTTCACGAGGTATCTCTACAACAAACAGATACTGATCATGAGCTAAATTTTAGGGAGTTTTCAACGCTAGCGTGGTAAACTTTCATCTGTAATATTTATTATCAGCAGCTTCAAACTATTGGAGAGAGAACGTAAATTACACTTACAGCTGTGTATTACGCTCGTTAACGGATCGGAAGTTGTCTTGACGGGAATGGCTGTGGGCCAAGCTTTCCTCCTGGTTGTGGCTTTCCAGTGTTACTAACCCGTTTGCTCAAACAATGAGGAAATTTTGAGACAGCGTTATATAATTATTGAGGATACGAGGCAGCAACATCAACTGAAGTGATGCGATGAAATTCATCCAATAACAGACCGGTTTATTTTCCGGTGTGAATTTCACGTGTTTGGCACGACATCATAACATTGTACAAATTTTTGTCATTAGCGACGAAATTGTTTGGTTTGCACTTGTTTAAGAAATTGATTTATTGAACTGTTAAGTTATAGTTTGTATGCTAACATAAATAGATAATTATAGATTATCTATACTTTTGCTGACAATATACAAGTGCCTGTGTGCAATTCACGTGTTTGACACGACTGTAAAACATTTTAGGAATTTCTGGCAGTAGCAAAGAAATTTTCGGTTGCAATTCGTTGTAAAAATTAAATTAAATTTATAGAGTTTTCCGATTAAACGGAATTGGAAATACTTTTTCCGAATTAGATGCAAGGTGGTGTTTGATTTAATTTGCACATTACAATTGCAATTGTTATTCATAGTTTAAAGGTAGTTATTATTCATTCAAAATATTTCCCCAATTCTGATTGGCTAAAAGCACACGCATAATTCACCATAACCAGTCACTGATGACCACATTTGGAAGAATTATATGTTTAACAAGGAAATGATGTCAAAAATGCAGCCCGCTACAGATTAAGGCACCGTTACCAAGAAGACCTGGGGTAAGGGTTGAGTTGTTTTGGTTGTGAAAAAAAAATGGCGGACATTTCACTCGTTTCAAGAGTAAGAACTACAGCTAGAACTAGGCGAAATAATGTGTCACTGGGTGGCAAAAGTTGTTTTTCTCATACAAATCCTTCTAATATTATTTTTGACAGCATTGCAATCGCTTCTTTTGAGACATATGGCTGAAAGTTTACAAGTTACCTAATTTTAATACCGTATCTATTTGATTAAGTGCCCAACCTCTAATTTATTATTAGTACCCACCTTGATTAAGCACCCATCCTAAAGGCAGAAAAAGTTATTAAGCGCCCAGCCTCAAATAAGTGCCAACCCCTCCCCCTTCCACTCAAACTCAAATAAGTGCCCACAACCAAAACCCACCCCCCTTCCCCCTCCCACCAAACAAAAGTGAATACCGTAAGTACTAATAAGAGACTTTCTGAAGATGGAGTTTTCTTCAGAGTATTTTACAGAAACCTTGCTTTGTTACATCTTCGCGTTTTTCTATTACCATTTATTGATTTGTTGCAAAATATATATACCACACTTGCTGAAAATTGTGAAAATTTCATAAGCGCCTAGCCTTGAATAAGTGCGCACTCTCAAGGTCCAAAAATTTAATTAGTGCCCAGGGTGGTTAGTCGAATAAAATAATATGGTATGCTCTTTTCCATGCTGATCAGCCGGCGGTTTGTTCTTCTTAGCTGGTTTAAATGGGTGGGTAGGGGAAAAACCTAATTTGAACTCATGATCACATAATTCAATGGGTTGGGAGATAAAGAATTCTGAGAGGCAAACCCGGCTGAAACCATTTTCTGCATAATTATTATTATTTCATTTTGATCTACAACATATGGATATTATTTAATGTATCATGTGTTTGCTTGTAAACTTTGGTGATCTTTGTTGTTTTTTTGTTTTAGAGATGACAGTGACACTGAGACTATTGATGGGGAAGGAAGGTACATGTATTAATTTGATCATTAAGTGGTTTACTGTGACATAAGAAGAACTTTGACTAATGTCGCTTTTGTTTGTTTATATTAGTATGAATGTGCAGTGATTTTGTAACCTCTGCATCCTGCATCCTGGATGCATAAAAATCTCCAAAGACGCAAAATAATTCATGGCATGCCTCCCATGGGATGCAAAGATCGATTGATCAATCTGAACATGTGTATTTGTAGAAATATCCTGTTCGTGTAATTTATGTGGCAGTTATTATGGCTGTTGTTGAATGATGCGTATTTCTTTTAGCCTTTCTTGTGCTTTAAAATAGAAGGACTGTATTTTAATTTCGGTGTACTGTAATACAGAGTTTTGCAGTCTGCCTTCAGATTAACTGTCTGGTTTCATAAAGTCCCAAGCATTTTCAGTTTTAGACTCTTTTTTTTAACTGGGACTCATTGGTTCTGGACTGGGACTCACACTCGCAGTCACCATAACTATTTTGTAACAAAATCACAGAATGTGATTATCATAGTACATGTAACTGAGAGGGAGTTCATAACAAAACTGCAGTACAGTTCATTTTTGGTGATCTTTTTCCATTGGGTTGTAATGTTAAGCTGTTGGCCCTGTCTACTTCCTCCTTGCATGTCAATAAGAAGATCATGGCCAGGTTTTTCAAAGCAGGGTTGCAATAAACCAGTGTTAGTGCCAAGTTTCAATTCAGATTTGAACGCTTAAAAGGCAAATTTAGTTTAATTCTTTTTGCCTGCAATGCAATGATGTGATGCTGTATAAAGAAAAGAGAAAATTATGCAAGAAAATGCTTTTGAAAAGAAGAGCAAGAAACCCAGATTAAAATTTAATTTCAGGTTGGGGCTAATATAATCGGCCTTTGAACAACTTGGCCCAGGACATAAAGACCTATGATGGCCCAGGACCATTGTATTTTTGCACCCATATAGAGAGTCAAATAAAGGGAGTAAAGAATGGGAGGGACCAACTGTAGGTGCCTGTTTTATAGAGGTATCCATCTTATTGAGGTGTCCATTAAGAGAAAGCCGACTGTAAAAATGAAAGTGTTATTTTTATTGCTTGTTTCCTTAGGGATGGAGAGGATGGGAAGAAAGGGTGGCAAAAGACCTACACAAAGTGAGTTTTTATATATTGTATTTTTATATACTGATGAAGCAAATATTATTCTATTTATTTTATAAATAATGTTAATTTTAATTAATTTCATAAAGCTTGCTTAATAAAATTATTTAGTGCACTGATTTAACATTGCTGCAGTTATTTTTTTAACACTTGGTACAAAGCAGTACCCAGGTTGTTACTGATTTTTGTTAGTGATTTTTTTATTGATGTGCATGCTCATAATAAGTTATTTATTGTTTGGTAATATTAAACACTCAAAAACCTTGGCAATATTATTCTTGGCCAAGAAAAAGAGGAAAATAGTTTTTTTCGCCTTGAATGAATTTAATTCTCAAAAGTCACTCATGTGTATGTTTACATTACTGTTCAACAGGCAGAATCACAGTGAGATTGAGAAGAGACGTCGTGACAAGATGAACACTTACATCAATGAGTTATCCAGTATGATACCCATGTGTAATGCCATGTCACGCAAGCTTGATAAACTAACGGTACTGAGAATGGCTGTGCAGCATATGAAAACCCTAAAAGGTGACTGACAACATCCCCTTATAGGCTATGAAATTCCTCTTCCTCTTTGCTGCCTCTCTCTCCCCTCCCTCATCTCTCTCTTCCCGTCCCCACCCCACTCCCATCAGCTGATTTGCTTACGGTGAAGAATTTGAACAGCCTCAGTTAATTGACTAAGTCATAAACTTTTTAGCTCTAAAGAATATGTCAAATCAAGATATTTCATAAAAGAGCCTTCATTGTGTAAAATACCAAAAAGAAAATATTATCATTTTAAGAGAATTACCAATAATTAATCCTCCTCCTGTACCACTGTAGACTCAAAACTGTCACTTGCATGCGTATGTACATTTTTAACATATTGACTTTGAGAGTGAACAAAGTTTGGAGCTTACACTGTCATAGTTTGAATAAAGTAAAGAGTTCTTTTGCCACGTATTTCAAGGGGAAGAATGGTAGTCATGATCAATTTTGGCTGGGAAAGAAATTTATAGAATCACAGATACAGTGCATGTGACTGCTTCAGTTTGAAACAAACAGACGTTTTGTCAGTTAAGTGTGTGGTCCTTTCTAAGTGGCGAGATTGAAAACAGTTTTTCACAAACAAGTGAATAGTAGCATTTTCTCTTTAAATGCGAAAACCTTCAAGCTATAATGTCCCGGTTGTATTTTCAGGAGCCCTAGACCCATTTACAGAGACGAACTACAAACCATCATTCTTGTCTGATGAAGATCTAAAGAATCTTCTCCTTGAAACAGCAGAAGGATTTTTATTTGTTGTTGGATGTGATCGGGGATGTCTACTCTATGCATCGGACTCCATTCAGAATTATCTTCACCAGTCTCCTGTAAGTCATCCTTAATGTCGTTGTCTCTTTTAACTCTTTTGCATCCTGCTAGAAATGCCTTTCTTTCACTTGCTTGATTTTGGCGTACTTGAGAGAGGCTCTGTATGAATCAAGTAAGATGGAACTATTGCTGTTTGTTGCTGGGATACAGTCAGACCTCAATCCTAACAGCTGTGCTAGCTTGGTACAAGGGGTTTCAGTTTATCAATAAAAGGTTGCTCACACTCAGAAAAGGGTTTGATGACAGAAAATATAATAAACAGAAGTTCAGGCTTTGGTGACTCAAAGGCTTGACTTAAATGAAGATAATCATCCTTTTTTCCTTCTCACTAAAGAAGGCTCTGCTCCCATGCCGACTCTCTTGAGATCAAGATTGTGAAAATGGGTAAAAAAAATTATGAAATATGCCTTTCCACGATGTGACATGCCAGGTGTAGTTGTTATGTGTTTAAAGCTTGTTTCTTTTTAGACATCTTTGTAACACCATGTAAGAAAAAAATTCTGTTTTAGATTGGCTAAAAAAGGAAAACTGCTGTGTTGGAAATAAATAAGCATTTAATCAAAATGATAATAGACTTTCTTCCCAAGGGGTGCTGGTGCACCTGAGTTCCTTACTGATTAGCCCTTTAAGCCCCTAGAGTGATCAGCATCAAATTTCTCCTTTTAATAACTATGCTTTGTAAACAGGGTGGTCATGAGACTTAAAGACATGATCACACAAGATGATTATGTGTTTGATATCTTATGAACTTCTTCCCACTAATTCTGTAGGAAATGAATGGGGGCAACAAATGAGAATTCAAATTTTGATCTTATGGTATAAAGGATTAGAGGGTATCAGGAGGAGGCAGGGAGGGGAAATATTAATAAGTGGGAGTTTTTCTGGTATTGTTAAGTTTATTGTTCTTTTTGGGCTCATTCATTGCTGCAGACCAGATAGTAAACTCCATTTACAATTCTGTTCTATAATACACCCTGTTTATTTTCTTCTGCAGTCTGATCTGGTGGGGCATAGTTTCCTTGATCTTATCCATCAGAAAGACATCAGCAAAGTCAAAGAACAGTTATCGTCATCAGATTCTACACCACGTGAAAAGCTAATTGATGCTAAAACAGGTCTACCACTCAAAACAGAGAACCAACCAACTCCAACTAGATTGTGTTCTGGTGCTAGGAGGTCATTCTTTTGCCGCATGAAATGTGGACATAAAGGGTCGAAATACAAAGACAATAATCAAGAGAATGAGCCCTGCCTCATGAAAAGAAAAAACAAAAATAAGCAATCCATGCAAGCAGAGAAGAAACCTTATGTTGTAGGTGGGTACACATTATATATATTGATGATGATGATGATGATGATGATACTGTCAACTTTCTCTAAGACTGACACCTTTGGGCCCGACACTAAGGGTCTGTCTCTGAGTGTGTTGTCCGTCTTATAGAGAGCCAACTAAAAGGAGTGAAGAAAGGCAGAGACCAACTCTAGGTGTCTGTTTTACCGAGGTGTCCGTCTTATAGAGAGCCAACTAAAAGTAGTGAAGAAAGGCAGGGACCAACTCTTGGTGTCTGTTTTACCGAGGTGTCCGCCTTATAGAGAGTCAAATAAAGAGAGTAAAGAAAGGCAGGGACCAACTCTAGGTGTCAGTTTTACCGAGGTGTCCGTCTTATAGAGAGTCAAATAAAGGAAGAAAAGAAAGGCAGGGACCAACTCTAGGTGTCTGTTTTACCGAGGTGTCCGTCTTATAGAGAGCCAACTAAAAGGAGTGAAGAAAGGCAGGGACCAACTCTTGGTGTCTGTTTTACCGAGGTGTCCGTCTTATAGAGAGTCAAATAAAGAGAGTAAAGAAAGGCAGGGACCAACTCTAGGTGTCAGTTTTACCGAGGTGTCCGTCTTATGGAGAGTCAAATAAAGAGAGTAAAGAAAGGCAGGGACCAACTCTAGGTGTCAGTTTTACCGAGGTGTCCGTCTTATAGAGAGTCAAATAAAGAGAGTAAAGAAAGGCAGGGACCAACTCTAGGTGTCAGTTTTACCGAGGTGTCCGTCTTATAGAGAGTCAAATAAAGGAAGAAAAGAAAGGCAGGGACCAACTCTAGGTGTCTGTTTTACTGAGGTGTCTGTCTTATAGAGAGTCAAATAAAGGGAGTAAAGAAAGGCAGGGATCAACTCTAGGTGTCTGTTTTACCGAGGTGTCCGTCTTATAGAGAGTCAAATAAAGGGAGTAAAGAAAGGCAGGGACCAACTCTAGGTGTCAGTTTTACCGAGGTGTCCGTCTTATAGAGAGTCAAATAAAGGGAGTAAAGAAAGGCAGGGATCAACTCTAGGTGTCTGTTTTACCGAGGTGTCCGTCTTATAGAGAGTCAAATAAAGGGAGTAAAGAAAGGCAGGGACCAACTCTAGGTGTCTGTTTTACCAAGGTGCCTTTCTCATAGAGAGTCAAATAAAGGGAGTAAAGAAAGGCAGGGATCAACTCTAGGTGTCTGTTTTACCGAGGTGTCCGTCTTATAGAGAGTCAAATAAAGGGAGTAAAGAAAGGCAGGGACCAACTCTAGGTGTCTGTTTTACCGAGGTGTCCGTCTTATAGAGAGTCAAATAAAGGGAGTAAAGAAAGGCAGGGATCAACTCTAGGTGTCTGTTTTACCGAGGTGTCCGTCTTATAGAGAGTCAAATAAAGGGAGTAAAGAAAGGCAGGGACCAACTCTATTTCCTTGGTCTGTACTCTTGTATATGTAGACTTTGGCTCTGAGTAATGAGCAGATAGGAAATGCGTACTTCATTGTCTCCTCCCAACCATTATAATTACAACACTTAACTTAGTACTAATTGCCATGCTTGACTTCTTACTAATTATTGCAACATTTAGCTAAGAAGCATTTACAAAATTATTTAAAGGCTGGTTCCTTAAAAGACATTTAAAATCTTGAACAGAATGTCTTAATTTTAAAGGAGGTTGTACATGCAAATTGTTGCAGAGCTTTATGGTAATAGTAAAAAGTTCTTTTTCTGGGGGCGGTTCTGAAAGGAGGGATGTTTAGCTTTTGGTAATCCTAGTGTTCATAAATTATAAATTGGGAAGTAAGATATTGAGGGGCGTTACCGGCCATGCAGTTGAAGGCCACTATAGTTTGCAAAATCTTTCAGTTTTTGTAGAAAACATATTATTTATGTAGCTCTCAATAATTTTGTTTCTCTGCTGGTTTAGTTCATTGCACAGGATATCTTAAGTCATGGCCCCCTTCAAGCAATTCATATGATGACGAGGATGAAGAAAATGAATCAAGAAATCTCAGCTGCCTTGTAGCAGTGGGAAGACAAGAAATAATTTATGATGAGATGACTGATTACTCACAACCAGGCATAGCAAGAGAGTTTATTTCACGGCATACAATAGATGGAAAATTCACATTTGTTGATCAACGGTCAGTGAAAATAGATAGATGGTAACAATTGTAGTGTATTAAATTTATTAGAAAGTTTGGTGATTAATATTAGTGTTAATAAACCTTTTTTTGGATTTTTGTAAAATTTAGAACAACAGCCATAACTGGTTTTCTGCCCCAGGAAATGATAGGTTGTTCAGCCTATGAATTTTTCCATCAAGAGGATCTTAACTCCATTGCTGTAACACATAAAAAAACTCTGCAAGGAGAGACAGTAACGACACAACCCTACAGATTCCGATGCAAGGGAGGACACTTTGTTCCCCTGAGAACAAAATCAACAGCTTTCAGAAATCCATGGTCAAAGGAACTGGAATTTATTGTATGTAATAACATGGTCATCACGTGAGTATGACTTTTTAAGTTTTCTTTGTTATCATGAACTTATTGTGGGAAAATAATAATTTGCCTTAATTGTAATATTTGACTGTGAAGCAAAGGGGGAATTTCACATTACATCAAAAAACACCAAGGCTTTTACTCCATGCATCCCTTAAGTCTACTGATAAATAATTTACTCCTGCCACAGTACAAGGGAAAAGGTCTTTTCAAAATGTGACATCAGGAGGTTAATTTGTAAAATTGCAGGATTTTATATTAAAGATTAATGATTTTTAGTACATGTAGGTGGATATTTTTTAATGGCAAATTCACAGTAAAAATAAATAAATAAAATACCAGTATCTTAGGAATGACTGATTTCACTTAGATGCTAATGCAAGAAATCTGCATAATCTGGAATCTGCATCTGCTGATATATTAATATAATTTGGAAGAAGAAGAATTCTAAGACTAAAAAGCTCAGAAAAAGTTCGAGGCTCCAGTCATGACCCTCCGAGTTCTAGTTCGGATGCTCCAACCACTGAGCTACTAGAGGCTATATGGCAAGCAGGGTTGAAATTTAATCATAACTACACCAGTCATTGCGGACTGTATCGGGAACTTGCTCAAACTCGGCCGTCCACCAGCTTACAAGACCAAGACTGTAAGCTTAGAAAAAATTCTGAGCTCCAGGTGAGAATTAAACTCACTAACCTCTGAGTTCTAGTTTGAATGCTCTAGTCACTGAGCTACTAGAGGCTCTATGGTGAGCATGGTCGCCATATATAGGTAAATTGCTGTTTTGTGCCTTTTTGTTTCCCCCCCCTGATGTTTTCTTTTGTTCGTAGGGACTTGGAGTCACTTGGTTTACAGCCAACAGAAATGCATAGTGTTCTGCAAATTACAGATGGTATGTCCTCCAGTGACAGCCCAGCGCCAACTCGTCCTTATCAGTCTGGGGTACAGCAAGTGGTGGAAGTGCTTAGAAAGAAAGCACTCATGGATCCAGGTAAAAATTATAAGGCCTATGTTCACAGTTGGTGTCTAAAAAATAGTGCCTGAGTACTGGTACAAAAATGGTGTTGTGTTCACGCCTTAGCGAGCTTAAGCAACAATGACGGTGACGGCTACGAAAACGTCACTTAAAAAAGAAGCCGCACTGCTTCAAACTTTATCAGGCTTATTCTGTCTTGTTCAATTTGCCAAATGTTGGCAATTTGTTCTAGAGTTGAAGTTTAAAGACTGTATGGAAGTTCAGGAAAAGAAAAAGAAAGTCATGTCATCGTCTTGTGTTTACATCCTCCACAAAACGTGAAATTAGGCATTTTCACGTCGTAGTCATGCAGTGAAGGCAAAGAAATGTACAAAACAGGGTGATCACATGCAAAGTTGTTGTTTTGCTAGTCTAAACCTATTGCTTTTTTGCTGTTCTCGTTGATGTTGCCATCGTCATTGCTTAAGCTCCCTCTTGAAAATGTGATGCCCATAAACTGACACTTTTACAAATATAACCGCCCCCCCCTCACCCCCACTTATAAGCACCCCACTTACCAGTTATAGGGTCATTTACATTGTACCTGTAAACAAAAAGATATCTCCAATTATAGTAAGTCCCCCTTCAAATGTATTGAAATGAATTTGATTTATTATGATGTTTTCAATTAAGCGCTAAAATGTTAAAAGTAAATACTGTGTATTTTTTTGTAGCAAAACCTGCAGCTAAAAATATTCGTCCAAGCAGCTCTGATGGTGATGGCACAATGCCAACTGCTGGAGCCAGTCGTATTGGTGCGTTAGTAGCGGAAGAGGTACAAACCCAGGAGGCACATGACAGGTATATAACAGTGCTTCTACTTAGTTTGATTTTGAAGTGTAGATTATTTGTATTTTTTAATACCCTGTTCTATATTAAGCACTATGCTGATCAGCTGTCTGGGCTAGATCGTATTTCTTTCTGTGAGAGGTGATAGGGTGATTGAATTACACATGCACCCCAGTCAATTTTTTTTAGACTTATGCAATGGATCTTTCAGTTTATTTTTTTAGTTTTTGAAGCACTACAGTACGTATGGCAAAGAGGTGTTGTCCTTTGCATAAGCATTCGGAATAATGAAATATTATGGTAGCTACATTACTGTTCAAAAGTAGTGACAGCAAAGTCTGCCATTAATTTTTGTCCGTTGTTTTTGCAAAAGTTTGCAAAGTGTGGTGCAAAATTTAACTGAATCATCCATGAACTTTTGTCAAATTGTAGTTATCAATGATATTTTTGCAACTGTTTTAGTGCATAAACTGTTATTTATACTGCAGTGTGCATTACACTATGAACAGCAACAGAATAAAAATATGCTCCTTGTTACTTTGCAGGCACTCCAGCTCAAGAGGCCAGGGAACAAATGATGACATCACAATGGACATGCCAGGTGTTATAGGCACAATAAATATGGATGACATTTCACTTAATGCATCCAGTGTTTCACGGTCATCAGTTGTAGGACTAGGCTCGCGCTCTTTGCTTATGGATAACCAGCGACAGGTGTCACAAGCGCATCTACTAGAGCAGTTAATTGGAATGCAGAATGCTATTGAGTCAATGGAAACACCCATGGAACAAAGTGAAGAGACAATGTCTGTTTTTATGAATATGCTGGAAGCCGACGCTGGACTCGGAGGCGAGTTTTGAGTGTTTTTTAATTTAAGTGGTTAACTAGGTAGGTTATGTGTACAGGTGTAAGGTTGTTTTTTAGCATACTGACAAATTATCATTAAAATAGTTTTCCCAGTTTATTGTCAGCTACTCATGAAAACCTTTGTTAACTGTAACTTAGCCCTACCATGTTATGGTGAGATTATTAAGAATATTAATTTTGTGACTTTAACGTAATCTGTGGACAAAATTGTATGATGTTGCCATTCAAATGAAAACTCTTTTGCAGAACTTTTGTCTAGTAGTAGTATTCTATTTTTTCAGGATTTTACTGAAAGAAATTTGGACATTTTTTTGAAGCTCTTAATTCAGTAAAAGGGTTAACCTGGATTAGTGGCAGATTTCAAAGGCAGCTTCACATAGCCCACATTCAACTCTTGCAGTCCCACAGTAAACAATACCGGTAACTGTAGTCTTGCCAGATGGCTGTAACTTTTGAGTCTTTGCGTGGACAAAATCCTTCACTTTAGTGTTATCATGGTGCTATTTTTCTCAGCATTCTATGCAACAAAATTGGCCACATCTGGGAGAAAAAGGCCCCTTATAAAGACTGGCTTTTCAACTCGCCCTCCAGTGAAGTTCCATTAAGGAAGGTGTTGCCTTTTCTCACACTTTCCTTAACACTGGCTGGAGATGGTTGAGACCAGAGGTGTCATAGGTCAGCTCTAAATCCCTCAAAAAGGTCTTCTGTAAATGCTTGAATTATTTGCCCCCTTTAACACTTTTGGCTAAAAATATTATTTAAGAATCCTCCCTTATAGTCAAGCCAGGTCAGGCACACCCCCATAGATTCTATGAATAAACTGATTACTTGAAAAATTGAATCCGTGAGTAGTTGCTGCTACTCTGATATCAAATTCAAATCTGCACCCTTCTATTCATAATGAGCATTGAATTTTTGTAATAACTTTTTTGTATTTTCTCGACTGAACAATCTTTCACACTTTGAATAGATAGAAATTAATCCTTCTGCAAACTTTCAAATTGAGTTCAAAAAGACAGATGAGCTGACAAAAGTTTTAACTACCTCACATGTGAATTCACTGACATTACAATGTATGTATTCAATGATGAAAATGACAGAATCTGTTATTGAAAACTACTAATTCTGTACATTCAATTTTCGAGAAATTAATTTATTACTAGCATCTACATGGGTATGCTTGACGTGGCTTGACTGTAACACCCTTCCTTACTAGTATTATATGGTATATGGTACCTTAATCTGCAGTGAATATATCAGCAGTATAACATATACAGTTACCAGGGAATGACCTGGCCATTTGAGCAAGTCTCATGTTTGGATGTTATCGTTACATTGACAATAAGGCTTGGGGACAGCAACAACAGAATGTTCAAAATCAAGAATATGCACCACACACACATTTAGGTATACAATGATATTTATTTTTTAATGTTATAGTTTTCGTTTATTTGAAAGAAAGACCTTCCTCAAATAGTGTCTAAACTAAAATTTTTAACGAATGAAATAATGTTCCCATCAAATCAGTGGACCCTCTCAAATCAAATTATTAAGTAGGCACCCCAGACCTGTGATAATTCAAGCATTTACAGTGCCTTAAAAATTAATGGGAAAAATGTCTCTTTCATTGACCTGCATGGTTAGAAATGTCTCCAGGGTTGTCACTAAGATTTCAAGTCTCCGGGTAAATACAACAGGTAGGCGGGAATCAAACAGCTAGGAATTTCTTTTGGTTCTATTTTTCTTTTATTTTCCTTTGAAAGTAGCCGGGGAAGACGTTCATAGTAGCCGGGGAAAATCCCCGGTCCCCGCCTCTTAATGACAGCCCTGTGTCTCTGAATCAAGGCCTAAACATGGACTATTTTTATTCTTGCTTCAAATGACAAATGTAAATACTAAAGTAATAAAAGAAAGTAAAATGCAACTTAAAATAGTTGAACAGTATATTAATGAGAAGGTTTGTAAGATTAAGAAAAGAGTTACTATTCCAGTGGAACAACAGGGAATCTCATAAAACATTATTTAAAATAATTTTAATGTTGTAGATAGTATTCTTTATGTATGAAAAACAACAACAACAACGTCAGCATGTTCTAGAGAAACTGTTGTGAACTTCAACCTGTAATAAATTCATTTTATTGAAACCCTCATACATGTATGTTTTTGGTAACCAACATGACTTTATCCTATTATAAATATTTATAATTTATTTTTAGTAACTATGGCTGGGATGACTGAGATGACTAGGATGACAAGAATGACTGGGATGACTGACTGGGGTAACTATAATGGCTGGGATGACTAGGATGACTGAGCTGACTAGGATGACTGAGATGGCTAGGATGAGTGGGATGACTCTCATGACTGGGATGTCTGAGATGACTAGGGATGACTGGGGTAACTAGGATGACTGGGATGACTAGAATGACTAGGGATGACTAGAATGAATGGGATGACAAGCTGACTGGGTGAATGGAATGAGTGGGATGACTAGGGTGACTGGGGATGACTAGGGTGACTGGGATGACTTGTATGACTAGGATGACTGGGATAACCTGTGAGCAAGTTCTCTGGGGCGCTCTGGAGGCGGGACGAGAAAAAGAAGGAGAGCTTGCAACTACGTCTCTGGAATTTGAATATCTGCATCGAAAAAGTCGTTGCGAAATGCTGATTGGTGGAGATGACATTTGTTATGACTTCATTACCCTTGGAACATGTCTTTCAATGGTTGTTTACATTTAGGCTTGTTTCCGCTTCGCGCTGATGGCGGAAATCTGACAGCTCTCTCAACAGGGAGCCACAGGGGAATTGGAGGCGGAATTCAAATTCCAAAGACGTAGTTGCAAGCTCTCCTTCCTTTTCCCACCCCACCGCCAGAGCACCCCGGAGAGCTAGCTTGCAGGCTAGACTGGGATGCCCGGGATGACTAGAATTACTGATGTCTAGGATAAAGGTTGACTGCAGTAAGTGGGATGACTAGGATGCCTGCGAAGACTGGAATGACTAGGATGACAAGGATGCCTCGGATATCAAGTCAAGTGTACTAGAGAACCCTCAGTTGCATCTGGTTAGTCAGCATTAACATCATTACTTTTTGTTGCAACTGGCACTCCAGGCTAAGTACATTCCATCCAGGCTCTGGACAGTTTATGCTGGAGAGCAAGACACACACTGGAAGAAGATGCACAAAGGAAATTGTCATTTTAATTTTTTTGTTTTCTGTCCCAGTGGATCCCATACTCTCCAGCATGGCAGTTTTATAATACCTGAAGAATAACCACAACGGGCTTTTTTCAAGCAGTAAACATCCACTTAGCAAGTTCAATTTACGTTGTGTATTGATTGTCATGGAGATGGCCTGCATAGCAGGCACTTGCAAGTATTATGTGACAAAGAACAGGGCACACAATGGTGACTGAGGGAAGGGGTGCCCCTCACATGTCTTCCTAACATGCCTGTTCTTTCTTATGCCCATTACTTTCAAGCGCCTCAGTCACACAGGCTATCATGGAGAATTTGAGTAGATAAGAACTTAAAACATAAATCCTGGCTAGGTTGCTTCGAGACTTCAAGGTAGTCAAGAATTGTCACATGCACTCGTATCAACCATGGAGAAAATGTCGTGTTTGTGAATATGTGATGTCTTGAAGATATGAAGAATTATCCTCTTAGGAGTTTACTGTGCAACTCACAAAATCGTGAACACAGAATGTTACTGTGTTGCAAGAGAAGAGCCAATGAGGTATGGGAAAACTCAATGGTAGAAAGCAGCAGTAACTAGTTTGTGGTTTTCTTGCTTGCTTGCAACTTCTGATGTTTGCTGCGATAGGTCTAAACACAGTAAACATTACTAAAGTATTTCAGGTGTTCATGGTTTTATTTCTTTAACATTAAAGGTTAAATTAATTTATTTTGAGTGTAAAATATAATGATCAATTCCTTAATTGTCTTAAGCCAACTTTTGATTCAATTAGAAGCCTACGCTACTTTGTACATGATTCATAGCATGCAGCTTTAAGTAATCTAAAAGGTGAATCTTAAAACGGTAACACAACAGTTCAAGCTATTTTAAGTACTTACAAAACTATGAATTCAAACAAACTGAACAAACTAAAGCAAATAGCAAGGTACATAGCACATTTTATGGTATATAGCATTTGCTTTTTCATTCATATAAGCAAATGGTTATTTTTCACAACTGAATTGCCTAAAGGAGTTAAAAAGGTGTTAAAATTTAATGAACTTAAAAGCCTAGCCTACTTTGTACAAGTTCACTGACTGGTACATTAGCATGCGGCTTTAAATCATCTAAAAGTTGTAACTTAAACGGTAACACAACAGTTCCAGCTATTTTAAGTACTTAAAAACACTATAAATTGGAACAAACTAAACGAAACAATTAAAACAAACAAAGTACATGGTACTAATTAACACATACTTTTTAAATAGTACTACATAGAATGTGTGTATTAAACTTCACAAAAGCAAAGAGTGCTAGTGCCTGAATTGCCTCAAGGAGTTAAAAGTTGTTAATTTAATGACAGTTGTTTTCTTTTTGTGTTATCAGGACTTAAAAAACTTCCACAATATACAACAGACAACGTATTCTACAACTATAAAAGAGCTAAAATAAATGCCATGCCGTAAGATTGGATAATAAGTTTGTTGAGGTCGAAGTGCTAATGGATCTTAAGTTGTAAATAATAGTAGTTCAACCCCTGTTAGATATGTACAGGTTCTGATGATTACATAAAGAAACCTATTATGCAGAGGCTTTGGTTTATATATTAAGAGACTTAATATATAAACTATATAATAGCAGATTGGGGAATCATTTTTGCAGTAAGAACACCTTGTTTGACTGCTCAATTTTTAAGTGAGGTTCCATTATATTGCACTGAATTTTAATCAATAGAATCCCATCTGAATGTTGCCCAAAAAAATTAATGGGAGTGCTATATTGTGCTTAACTAAGAAGTTATAGCCCATTCAGCACCTAAAACAAATGCCATCATGAAAGTTTGGGTTCGAAAATTTTTTTCCGCCTAAAATAAGTGAGGATTTAGTATTTCGCAGCAAAGAAGAGACAAAGCTCTTTGAGGGCATGATCAAACTGCGGAAATTTTGGATTGTTGTTTTCACAAACTGATTATTTTTTGATCAAACCAGAATTCTCCACATTTAGCCTGCAAAAGCAGACTTTTCTTCATTCTCATCACCACTAGGGGACATATCACGAGGAGGAACATCTGTGACTCAGCAACAGAAATTCCATACTGAGGACATAAAATCTGTCCGGTCATAAGCGCTGATTGGACAACGGAGTAGTTACATTGTTTTGGCTATTGTTTACAAATGACAGACATATTGACAAACAGCTTCAAAAGTCAAATGTAAACGTGCTGAATATAACAAAACAGTCAATATTTGTGGAATATATTCTTCTGTAGAAGAAGCATTTGAGCTTTGCTGGAGCATGTTAGCAGATGGACCCAACACTTTACCAAAATTGACCAGGAGAAACATAAAATTGAACAAATTTGCATTTGGAACCCCATGACTACTGGATTTATCATGTAAACATTGATTTACGTCATCAGTATGGAATTTCTGTTGCTGAGTCGCAGACTCTCCTCCTCGTGAAATGTCCCCAGCGACGAAGAGCGAGGAGAAACGCCTGTTTTCGCGGGCTACTCAACATTTTCTTGTAGCTTGTTGCATTGTAAGATTTAAATTCCTGCTGGTGATAAGGATTCATACCTATATATTAAACTATTGGCACCTTGGAGATTTTTTGAATTAAATTAAAATAATTCAATTCAATTCAAATAATCAAGGTATTTTTTAATATGTTGGTTTTGAAGGCAGGGATTTTATGGGTTACCTATAAACTTAATCATTTCTTTACATATAATTTCCCTTAAATGCCTAACCTTACCATTAACCAAGGATAACTGCCTTGGCAGAAGATATTACAGGAGTTTTAGCTCTTCTTTGGACCCCTGCTCAAGAAAAAACTCATGTACCCCTGAGGGATTAGGTGAGAACACACTGACTTGTCCTAATAAGAATATTCTACTTCATGTGATTGCCATAATGTACAAGGAGTAGGCCGTAGGTTGGAAGTTCTTCCTGGCAAATCCAACAACTCATTATCTTGGGGCGACCCATGTTGTTTCCTGTAGACACTGGCCTTTCTTTGGCTACTAAATGGACTCTCGATCTGATATGTTTCCTTATACTTCCTTTCGTTCTGAAATATTTTACACAATCTTTGCATTCAAATGGTTTCTCTCCAGTATGCGTTCTTTTATGACTCTCTAAAATATATTTATGGCTGAAGCATTTCCCACAGTCTTCACATTCATATGGTTTTTCTCCAGTATGTGTTCTTTTATGTGTCTGTAAATTACATTTAAGGCTGAGGCATTTCCCACAGACTTCACATTCGTATGGTTTCTCTCCAGTATGTGTTCCTTTATGTCGTGACAAATGTCTTTTCTCTTTAAAGCATTTCCCACACACTTTGCATTGAAATGGTTTTTCTCCAGTATGTGTTCTTTTATGTTGTGACAAATGTCCTTTCTGTTTAAAACATTTCCCACACACTTTGCATTCAAATGGTTTTCCTCCAGTATGTGTTCTTTTATGTTGTGACAAATTTCCCTTCTGAATAAAACATTTCCCACACACTTTGCATTCAAATGGTTTTTCTCCAGTATGTGTTCTTTTATGTCTCTGTAAATTATATTTTAGGCTGAAGCATTTCCCACAGTCTTCACATTCATATGGTTTTTCTCCAGTATGGGTTCTTTTATGTGTCTGTAAATTATATTTTTGGCAGAACCATTTCCCACAGTCTTCACATTCAAATGGTTTTTCTCCAGTATGTGTTCTTTTATGTGTCTGTAAATTACATTTAAGGCTGAAGCATTTCCCACAGTCTTCACATTCGTATGGTTTTTCTCCAGTATGTGTTCCTTTATGTTGTGACAAATGTCTTTTCTGTTTAAAGCATTTCCCACACACTTTGCATTCAAATGGCTTTTCTCCAGTATGTGTTCTTTTATGTTTCTGCAAAGTTCCTTTCCTTCTAAAACATTTCCCACACTC